AAGGATCAATTATCGGGTTCAAGGAGCACAGCAGCAGCATCGGGAATAGTATCGCGGGCCCGGTATTGAATTTATCGCAGCAGCTTATTTCCGCCGGTTGAAAGGAATATTTATACGGGCGCGGGGGCTAATTTATCTCGCGAGGCGTTTTATCGGCCATGCCCGATCGGACATTCGTGAGCGGTTTTTATTTCTCTTCTTTTATCCTCTCCCCCTTCCCCCTAACACTCCCGAAACCCGCGTGTCCGGCGCGCGATACCAACAAAGTGACTCTCAAATGCGCCCGAACATGATCTCGACAAGATCGCGTAAAGGCATACGAGAAAGTGAAACACGATCGGACACGAAACGATCGTACACGCGACGACAACACGATCAGATACCCTGTTTATGTGCTTAATAAGAGAGGAGCCGTCAGAAGAGAGAGTGTACCTGAAAGGTGTCATACGTGCTCCAAAGAGAAAAAAATTCAATTCACATGTCATGTGAGTAATGAGAGCTTTCGTTCGTCGATTAAAAGTTCAAACCTTACTTTATTTTATATATATATTCATATTCTCTCGGGACATAAAATATTGAAACTACCTAGTTGCACGAAAGGCGCGAACCTCAACGACGGGTCCATGAAAAATCTACTGTAACCTCCATCCTTATTATGAAATAAGGACTTGTGTAAGTTCTCGGAGAGCACACAGAGAGTTCTCTACAATATATTTCTTCCTACACACTTGTAGATACATCGGTGCTTTAACTCGAGCCATTTCTCGGGAAGGTAACGCTCCGTCGAGAGTAACGATTTTTTTCACGCTGTAGAGTGAAAAAAATACATGGCCAGGCGACCGATTCAATAAATCTCTTTTCGCTGACAGTCCTTCGTATTCCTTTAACTTATTTGCGACTCGCATCCGTATCAATTTGCGGACGACAGCGAATAACGAATTTCGACGATTTTCTAAAAACTTATCGGGGGATAAAAAAAAAGAAGAGATCCGAGTCGAGATAAAATTGTATCGGCTTCTCAAGCGGACTGTTTGAAAAAAAAATTGCAACATATTCTTAGTCGCGCCATCGGTCGAACATCACCATGAATTTCACGCGCGCAAATGTAACGAAGAACAATGTCCGCACCACGTACGCGTGCCAGCCATAAATATTCAAGCTCGTCGAGGCGGGCGCGGACATTTTAACCCTCTGCCGATCGCGCGATGTATATATTTTGACGTCCAGGATTATACGGTGAACTGCATCGAGCACAATCGGTCACTGAAGGCCCCGATTAAATATTCATACGCTTGGTAATTGCTCCATCTCTGCGATTTGAAATTATACCCGTATATGTGTATGTCTCTCGGAGCGAAGAGGGGAGGAGAGAAAAAAAAAAACAAATTTCGCACGAGTAACGTTTTCGATACGCTATGATCTCTGCGATCCTCAATCAGGGAATCATCATTGTCAAAGGACGTTTAACGAGTGAATTGAATTATGATAATATTGTTTTTCCAACATTTCTCATTACGCCGCATTATTTCCAAAATAGCCCCTATCGACATGTACGTTGGCGAAGCAATATTTTGTTTCCACAGTTTTGCGACAACATACGAAGTACGTAAATATTGACAAACGGATATATACTTCTGCTTGGAAGAATTTCAAATAATTACAGAACGATATCTGATACTCCGTTATTATTATCGACATATCTGAATATCGTCGTTTTTACCAATTACAAAAACGGGAACATTTAATTTCTAATTTAATTTCTATCAAGTTTTATTTTCTTCTTTTTTTTTAAATAAAACATCTTTAACTTATAAACATTTATAATGTGTGTAAAAAAAACGACAGTAATAGAGAACGATTTTAGATAATGTATTAGTAAGACACGAATTTTTTTGATCGCGCTAAATTAAATTGGAACAAGTGAAGAAAAAAATAGTCGAATTAATGCAGGTGAAAAAATGTCATTTGCTTATTTTGTGATTGGTGCAAATTTTAAAGATTATATGCACGTATAAAGAGATTTAGCTAACTCAAACTGAAAAAAAAAATGTTGAGAAATTATATTTGTTATTATTTGTTAAAGTTTCATACACGGCGCCTTTTAAACATTCCGAGAATTCGCGATACTAAAGTTTGTACTGCGCTGAGTACAATACGGTCGCATTCTATTCCACCACCTAACACCATCATTTTACTCGCGATATAAACGAAACGGTGGGAAATAAAACGCCTTTTCAGATCCCTTTATCCCGTTAATCTTGTCGCGCTTTACGCGTGCAAGATACCAAGCATAACAGAAAGAAAGAAAGGGAGAGAGAGAGAGAGAGAGGGTAAACGAAAGAAAACGCGAAAGGAAAAGAAGAGGTGCTTATTGTACCTTGAACCTTTGCTTTTAGCCGCGAACATACCTGCCGTTCAAACTTGACAATGTCACGACCGATAAATAAGACTCGCAATCTTTTCCGCCAGTCGAGGCACAATAGAGGCAAAAAGTCGTAGAGCGTATCAGGTGCGAGACAAGATTGCAACAGGGAAACTTACACCTGGTGCGTCTGAAAATTCGACTCTGCTTTCCTCCTTCTCCTCCTGCAAAGATATGCGGTCAGATGCGGATATTCCTTCCCAATATTTCCCACGTTTCCTCGGGACGTCCGATTGTAAACATACGTTCGAAACGAAACAAACGTCGCGCATATATAACACGTAGACCGAATGATTTATATCTTGAGCGCGACTTTTCGAATGTGAATGTAGGAATTTAAAATGAGAGAGGAGAGAATCACGATACTTTTCAAATAATTTTCGCAATTTAAATGACGGAGAAGGGCTTTTACGTCTCGAAATAACTCATACATTCTGCAAACTTTCAGCGAAATGCACTTTAACAGAAATTTAATTCTCACCAAGAAAGAATTTATTCCACATTCGCGTAGAAAGATCGAGCGTGCGAGGGGAGAAATTATGAATACGCAATCATTTGCATAGTAAATATCGATTTTATTTCGCGCGAGCGCGATAATTCGTTCGCGTTACACGGGTTACGAGGCCTTAGCAAAGTCCGTCGTACGATACGTGAGAGAAAAATTAATTACCTCTAATTACAACGTTCGGGCAGTTTCTAATAGCCTGCCTCGACCCGCGATACGTTTGCGTTGCGTGACCCTGATGCTTATCGAGTCAATGACAATGCGTGCGTGCGTGCGTACGCAACGCGCGCGAGAATAGCCGCGATAAGGGACCGGCGATATTTAAACGGCAATCTCGTCCCCACCGGTCCATTCATTAGCCGACTTAATTTAAGACACCGTCGGCGGAATTTTAAACACGGCAAACACAGACGCGATTAGCGTTAATCACCGCGTTTCGGTTCACATCGGCGCGAAGGAAAGACTAATTAATGACGCGGGCGTGTTGTGTTTATGAAGGCGCCCCTCTCTCTTTCCTCCACCCCCCTCTCTCTCACCCAATATTATCGTTTTACAAAAGCGACGTGATTAGAGGATACGCGTGTGTTTTTGCCGCGGAAAGAATTTTGACAAATCTCTATCCTCCTCTCTTTCCTTCTCTCTCGTACATCTAGCTTCATTACTGCCGCAACGCGCCCGACCACAATTACGGTGCTCGGATATTTGTTATTCGTTGTAATGCCGCGCGTGCATTGTTTGCGCACACGGAACATTCTTCCCCAAAAATGTTGGTAAATTCGCGGTAAATTCAGTTGTTTTTCTTTGCGAAAATTGATCCGGGAACCATAATATATTACAGATAACCCAATATATTATATATAAAGTTTTCAATTTGTAACGCTATATATCTTGGCAATCGCGTATACTTCAAATTAAATTCCCTTTCAATTAAAATCCACGAAAAATCGGCCGCGAGCGAGATAGCTATATCTCGTAAATAGAAATTTTTCAATTTAAAAAATTGGCGTTCTCTCTTTCTCTATCTCCCCTTGTAGTATATACGAGCTATTTATGATTAAAAAATTTTTATGCATAAACAAATTTAAATTATCCAATATATGTATACGTATTTTTGTGTAAATCATGTTTAAAGCGAAAGAAACATAAGCGAGACATTGCATTGCCAGAGATATCTCAACGACTCGAAAGCTGTTTCAAAGACGAAACGCCGGTGGTTCGTCGCTTATCAATTATTCCGCAAAATCGATATCATAAGTCAGACTCTTCTCGGCTCTTTGTACATGTAATGGTGATTCTAATAAAATCATTCGTTCATATTATATCAATCTATTTTAGATTTGTGCTTTCTGTACATCTTCATACTTTTTATTAAAAGCATAAATTGCATTTATCTTATTTTAAATCTAGAACGCTTTACAATATATAAAGATGTATTCATCATATTATTTCTAATTTCAAACTAAAAGAATCAAAATGTCGCTCCAAATTTTTATTAAAAAGAAAAATTTTTTTGCTAATTTTATTCCGAAATTCGTGTGTGAGATCCGTATTCTTGTACCTCTTAAAACTTTCGAGTCGAAAAAATTGCGTATATACAATATTACTACACTAAGTATACGAGGGAAATGAGTCACGTGTGCATAACTCAAAAAGCACTCGTCGCAATGAATCACGCATACGAGCATGTGACTCACCGACGATAAATTCGCAAGTGCACCTTATCACGCGTACGAATATTATCGTTGAATTCATCGGACGATCGTGTCGCGTGCGGACAGTTCAAGATTGAAATTACCACTCAGAGAGAGTACGTCGCGATTATGGCGAAAAGCTCGCGGTGACCTGTCTGTCCCTGAGCGTATTCACGAGTCTCTCGAGTGAATACGCAAAGTTTCCCATGCAGTTGCAACTGCGACAGCACGGAAAGGTGACAGGGGAAGGAAGGAGGGGGGGAAGGGGAGGCGAGGGAAAAGGGTCAACGGGGACCCTGGGACTAGACTTCGCAGGGTCCGCTTCCCACCCGCGCCTCGCACACACGATCCTTGTACAAACCGCAATGCGAATCTTTTGCAGGCGTCGTCGTCGTCGTCGTCGCCCTACGCATGACGTCTCTGCAGATACCGGAACACGTCGTGCTGAATGAGACGGTCCATATGCAGTGCAACTTCAACTTGGACAAAGAGCAATTGTACTCGGTGAAGTGGTACAAGGACGGCCACGAATTTTATCGCTACACGCCCAGGGACAAGCCCGAGGTGCTAATGTTCCCCGTGCGCGGCGTAAACGTGAACGTGAGTGCGAGTTGTAAGAATGCTCGGGACGACGAGAGAATTTCAGCCGATTTTCCCTTCTTTGATTCAATTATCCTTCGATAATGTTGCTTGAATAATTATCTAATATATATTTCGAGTATTCTCTCGCGTTATCAAACATTGGACAAATAAAAAAACGACCCGTTGTTAAATTGAAGCGTCTCTAATAGCAAATTCTTGCAATCTTCCGTTCTACTTTTTCCTCCGTTTAACCTGAGAGAGAGCGCGCTTTGTGTTCGTACATCCCTCACGGCGAGATGTTTTCCGTTCGAATCTAATAGAATCTGGTTCATTCACTACGGCGCATCGCGCATGCTCCGCGTCACGCTCGATCGGGCACAGCAGTTTGTAATCGCAAATTTGCATTCAGAGGTTCCAGTCTAACCGAACCTTGGTCGTCCTGAACAACGTGAATCTGACGAGTTCGGGGAGGTATCGCTGCGAGGTGTCGGGCGAGGCTCCCGCTTTTGAGACGGTCTCCGATCACGGGGACATGACTGTAGTCGGTAAGTATTGTTATGGAAAATAAGGCCGAACGGGGAATACACGCGATTAAGCTGGGATTATAACGAGAACGTGGATGAAAGCAGCTTCATTTAAATGACAATCAAATTTAAAAGACAATATTTGGATCGGCATTCTCGATAGACGGAGAGATCTCTCTCTCTCTGTATGAAAATAAAAACATACGAGTCTAAAGTATATATAAAAAAAAATCTTTTTACCCTTAAAACGAGCTGTGTATTACCGAGATAATTATTTCGGTAAAATTTGCGAGAGGAACGAGACTAGATAAATGAATACGTGCAGTAAATGCACGCGAGTGAGATAAGGGGGATCTAATCCGAGGGAACGACAATAGCACTAGAAAGGGTCATGGCAACGTTTCAGTTCTACCTAACGAAGGACCACAGATAACCGGCGGTCGTCCCAAGTATCAGGTGGACGATGTCGTTCGCATGGACTGCACGTCGGCGCCTTCTAAACCACATGCGCTATTGTCTTGGTTCATCAACGACGAGCCGGTAAGTGAGACACTTAAATCGTCGGCGAAATAATTACAACCTTTGTTTTACGCTTCACTAAACTTTTCCAACAAGCCAACAAAATGTTGCATATCTCGTTAAAAAGAGAAAGAGGGAGGGGAAGGACAAGAGGAAGAGAAGAGAGAGAGAGAGAGAGGGAACGCACAGCGTTGCAATTTGCTAAATAAATCAAAGCTTCATTCCATTTTGTTTTCATTACAAAGACGCGTATGCGCGTGTCCATTTGCGCTGCGTGTTGTGCGTTAATCTCGAAAAATACTCTCTACTCTGCCAATAATATTCTAATTTAAAATTTATTTTGATAAAACACCGATCACCAATTCCCAATTAAAGGTAAAACGTTGACAGTCTATCGTGTCAACATTGAATATCGATTTGAAATCCCCGACGTTTATGTATATTTTCCATTTATTCGATCCCATTGATGTTCCGTTAATGTTTACAGAGTTTGCGCCTCTCTCTCTCTCTCTCTTTTTTAGATAATTCGTTAGCGCTATATTCCGGCAAATTTTCCGCCCTGCGCGAACGCGAAGCTTTAACCGAATTAAAGATTAACTTTAAAATAACTTTACCTCCACAGCGCGCGCGCGCGCGTTGCTGATGAATATTATTATCGTTATCGTGCAATAATTAGAATCTTGCTTCGGCGCTTAATGCAATTTCGCGTAATTGGTTTCGCGAAAAAAATTTGCATCCAGGATCAAAAGAGAGCAATCACTCTCGTTCTTAATTGTTTTCAAATTGCGTTCTATAGAATCCCGTATATCTGTTTTCTCATCTAATTGATGTCGTTGATGCTGCGTAATTCGGATCGCGAATCTGCGCCCCAAATAAAAATCCATCTAATTGCTCACGCTTCTCCATCCGATTGAATTGTTTCGATTTTGTTAAAAATATATAATTCTTTTTAATTATTTTTTTTTCATACTGCTCAAACGTCCCGCTTGCAGGCCGACACCGACTACCTGATAGGGCCCAGCATCGTCATCGACGAGAACGGTCTGGACATCGCGAAACTCGGTCTGGAATTTCGCGTCGGGAACAAGCACTTCAGGCAGGGCGACATGAAGCTAAAGTGCTTGGCCACAATAGCCACGGTCTATAAGCAGAGCAACGAGGAGAGCGTGGTGGGCGATGAGAGCGTTCTGAAGACGTCTATAATGGAGAGCCGCGAGACCAGGGCGCAGAGTCACACTCGCGAGGATCTGACGAATGGTAAGACCCTATCCCCGCATCAACCCTTTACCTTCCCCACTTGTGCCGCAATTGCGCAACGTTTTCCCCGAGCTATCGATTAACTCGCTGACGCTGACTTTTATCTCGTCTAAACTCGATGAAATGTAAATTTAAAAGAGATTAAGGTCCCAAAATCGCACGAACGTTGACCATCGTTATAATCGTATTTCGTACGCGTACGTAGAATCGATCTAGCATCTAGTACTTTTCGTTGAAGATATACGATTAACCGGAGAGATAATCGTTTGCCTTTCGCCGCGACTTATATATTTTTACAATTTTCCCGAACGCTTTCCAACACTTTACACTCTCGCGTTTCTACGATACGCATAAATGGAGAAAATGCGGCCCGCGGTGAATCATTGATCGCAAGCAGGGATGCGGAAAAATTCACTTAGGTCAAGCTCTTTGCGCGGAGTTATAAATCCCAATTTTATAATACTCTGCGCTCTCACGTTGAATTATTATTCCGTTAACGGACTTGATTTACCAAAGAATGCGTGGTAATCGGGCGCGATAAAATATATTACGATATATTTTGCGTTATTTCTCCTTTCATCTTTTTTTTTTACAATCGAAAAATCGACGATTTTTTCTACGAGCTTACCCCGATCGGAAAAAAATCGAGGATAACTTCGCAGTCGTGTATATGTTTAATAACGCGTATTAAAATAGACTTTTCATCGTAAATATCTTGCAACCTAAATACGAACAGCGTATTATCCGCATATATGCTTGTATTCAGAAATGGCGTAATTCAAGCGTAACCGTTCAAGCGAATATTTATATTTGTTCCGCGGTTTGTGACTGGTAAAACACGCGTGTGTCGCAAATTTTGCGATATTAAACGCGAAAATTATTCGAGATTCCCGCGCATCGAAGACCTCATAACGAGTAATGAGAAGTATAGCGGATTAAAGTCCTAAGTATTAAAACGAATCCCCGTAAGCGCGTACAGCATTTGGCATTAATCACAACGGGAAACTAATTGCACGATGCTTTAATCCGCGATAGTGCTATCGCCTGAGAGTCCCGCAATAAAAACTGATTAATTACAGCCACACTGTATTCAAATCCTGAACTAAATTACGGCAAGAACGAGGCTCGGGCTTCACGAAATGAGTACGTGGGATATAGTTCGGCGTTCCGAATTAACCGTTTAAGGGATGCGCGTCGCAAATTCGCTACAATCCTCCGCGAATCTCTATCCTATTTCAGCGAGCGTTTCGCCGACAACCGTATTCCCCCGCCTCGCGAAATCCTTTTCCCGTCGACGTCACGTGCATAAATGCATGTATCTTCAATTTTTAATATTTCAAGGAATTGATTAACGCGATCCAATTTTTCGCTGTCGGGGAGAAAGAAATTACAACGTCGACGTAACGTTCATCCGAGCCGGGATAATTTTACTCCCGCGAACAAAAGCGACTTTACGATTGTGATGAATAACGGGAAGGAGAGGCTAATAAATATATTTCGTCTTTGATGTTTCAGGAACCGCGAGTATCGCAGTCGAATGGACGATCCTCATCATCGCTCTCGCCACATCGATCGCCATCGCGCGATAATAACGACGAAACGTTTCCCCTTCCATCCCCCCCCCCATGTTGTTTCCTAATCATATAAACTATAAACATTAGGAGAGATCAGTTTCACCCTTACTACTAATTCCTAACTCGCGTAATCGTAAAAAAATAACGCAATACCGCATAATGCATATAATAAGTGTGCGTCCAGTTTACGCGTCGACGTACGCGTGATGAAGTCTTATACTACGTGCGTTCTAGGCTCTAAATGTATTGTCGTGCACGCTCGGGGAGAAGGGGGCGAAGGATCCTTCTTTCTTTCTCCCTCCGTCTTCCCGCGCGTTCGTTTAGATCGTCCAGGGTTCCCTTTAGCGAGGAACGTTGTAAAGGACCGACGTCAGAGTCGTCGTCTCTTGTATCGCTTTCCAGATACGTCGATGTTATTCTTACTACGATTTTTACAAAGGGATTTTCTATTTTCACGACATATCATTTTCATTCTCACCTCGACGGTCGCGTCTCGACGCGATTGTCGGATGACGATCTCCTCCCTCTTCGATCACCGGGTATATATCGGTCCCTCGGGCCCCAGCTTGCGGCCCCGCGAATGCGCTTTCACCGGAATCGCTATCGTCCACCCCCTACCTACCACCCCCGCCGCCATTTCCCCCTCAGCGATTTCTTCGTACAAAGCAGAGTTAATGGTAGTTCGCGACGGCGGCCGCGAAACAGATTCTTTTATATTTACACACGGTGGATAAATCGTTCGTGCATGCGAGTGATTGCGAAAAATGGATGAATTGAAAAGGAATTTATGGAGATTTATTTTGCAAAATTATGAATATCCAATCGTCGATTTGAAGCTTGATTTCCAAGATTAAATGTTTAACTTGGCAAAAATTAATCGTAAAAACGTTCCACATTTTTCTCGACTCGTCTATCTTTTGCAGTTCGCAATAATAGCGTTTGATGAGACATTTGCTTAAACATTTCCTTTGTTTCCGTTTTTACCGTCTTCCCGAGTATATTTAGTTAACCGTATTACCCTCTGCGAGTTATAATATCCTCTGGCTTTAATTTCCGATATAACTCGATCGGTAAAGATAGCTCGTTGTTAATAAAATACATAGCATATAAATACTCTCAAGTGTATAATATAATATTCTAGACAATATGATGTATCCTAAAATATATAAAGGTAAAGAGGAGATGTTTAAAGAGGAAAAGATTCGTCGGAAGAATATATAGCAATCTTTGTCGAGCGCTATTATTACGCATCACCGTGTGACATCGCACAACAATCGATTCGCGACTCGCTTGGGAGTATCTTTTTTTATAACGAGAGCCTTTTGTCGTAAAATGACCGTAAGTTGCAGGTCGTTCGCGCGCATCGCAACGCGATCGAGTCAAATCGAGTCTCACTCGCTAACCACGCGAAACGCTTAATCGGGTCGCTGTCGTCCCTCTTCTGACTAATTGTAAGGCATAGTTAATCTCATATCGGATATATGTCACGCGTACGGAATTACTATCGTATTTTCGATCGATATTGAAATATCCCGTGGACGCGCGCGCGCGCGCGCGCACGTCGACCGAACCTAGGAGGAGGAAACACGGTCCTCCACTTAGGCTCGTCCGTAACGCGTCGCCGTAATTAACAATAACGCGTAATCCCGAATCGACATCGGACAACATTGGTAAACGTCGCTTGAATCGCTACTTTTCTCGATCGGACACGAGGGAATTACACCAGATGTCAATTAATAGCGCGATTAATGACGCGACACTCGCCGCAAACATGTGTTGTACGTCAAACTTCTAAAAGTAAATTATTCGCCAAAGTCGAATTTCAAAAGAGAGCATCCCATTTTTTTAAACCGCAAAATGATACTACTTTTTATGTTGTGGTAAAAATAAATTGCGTGCGAATAAATTTGAAAATTTGAAAATTTAGATAAATTTTATCATAAATGTGTGGAAAAAATATTTCTCCTAAAAATAAAATATTTCTCCTAAAAATAAAATATTTAAATTTTATCCAACGACAAAGAGTTTGCCCTATCGTCGAGAATACGAGTACTCGTGAACTTTATTAAATATCCATGTCTAGCACATTATACGACTACCTAGCGAGCATTATTAAGGTCATTTTACTCGTTGTTGTACAATCAACTCGAGTTGATTTTATCGCAAGCTTGTCGCATAAACTCAAGAATGGCAAAGAAAATACGATATACGTATATAAATACCAAAGTATGAAAGTATATGAAAGTATCACAAAGAGAGAGACCGAAAAATCACCATCGCAATCTCCGCATTATCAATTGTCGACGCTGATCGATGAGTCATCAATTACGATCAATTAAATATATCTCCCGTAGCATATTCCAACTAAAAAAATCCGCGTTTCTACGAGCGGTGCTAATGTTATTGCCTTACACGAAAAAAAAATGTATATAGATAACAAGAAAGATGTTATTGCGATTGAAACTCGTGTATTACGCGAATAGCGAAGCCTATGAAACTCATCCGCGAGGGAATAATCGATAAAAAAAAAGAGAAGAAAATATACAAGACAGACAAAAATGACATGCTCTCGATATGAGCATCGTTGTTTCCCTCTATTCCTCTCGCTTTCCCCAGGAGCAAAATATGCGACGCAAATGTTTGACGAAATGCCGTTTCAACGCGACAAATGGTGTACTTCCCTTGTAAAGTAGGAAAGATCCGTAGCTTGTGTGTACGAGAAAAGAGAGAAAGAGAGAGAGAGAGAGAGAGAGAGAAATTGACTCACATATCTAAAGGAAAAGAAGACTCGCGATTTTTTGATGCCGCAACATTTTTTTATTCCGCGTGATTTAACCTGGAAAGAGCAGGCGGAGTCGAATGCCGTTTTAAATCGAACACGAATCCAATAAAAATGCTTTCCGTATGTTTAGACGACAGACTTTCTCGCGTATTATTTTCCGATATAATGCTAACAAAGTTTATTCGTCGATTGAATAATAGAAAAGGAAATAACAAGTTACCGATAGTCTGATGGTCGATAAAGATGGTTTTTCATCATAATTCTTCTATCGTATAAACATAAAAAAGAAAAGAATATTGGTTTTCTCGAAAGCATCCTACTTTAAATTTGCTACGGCCTTTTTATTAATTTTTCCACAAGCAGAAAACAAACGAAGAAAGAAGCGTCCTTTCCAGTTGTAATGAAAAATTATTCTATAATATTTGTTATTTTATAATAATCTCGTTATGCTGCTTGTGATAACGTTAAACGCGATAAATTACGAGACGTTCTTCGCTCTTTTCAGGATTGAAACGCGAATGTACATTACGCGTACCTGTATTATTATTTCCGAGTCAACGTAAGCATTTCGATACGCTCAAGATAGATATCCTTTCGATATATTTTTCGTATATAGACTCAAATGTATGTATTTTGCATTGCGATTTCATGCATAAAGCGCACTGAAGCGTTAAGGAAATTGGAATCCGCGCGATTCGCGCGAGACGCTGTGTTTAATCGAGTAGAAACAAAACGCGTTTCATACGAAGTAGTGCGTTAAGGCCCTTATAATACGTGTCATATTACGAGAATAAGTGTTTACATGCCTGTAAATATGTACATAATTTTCATCGTTATTAAAATTATTCACTATTATAACACTGTCGAGTGTCGTTACTGCTCCAACATCTCTTTTAAATTATAATTATAAAAATATTCTTCCCTTTTTTTTGACTGTTATAAAAATATTGTTTTTATTCTTTTTTCACCTCTCTTTTTTCTCCTCTCTTTTTTCTCGCACAGCTCTCTTATCACAATAGGTTTTTTTTCATTTAAATATACCGCACATTAATTTAATGACACAGAGGTTTTCATATATTTATTTTTTAATAACAGAATAGAAAATAAGATTTATTTGTTTTGCTTGCAATCCCCAAAAATTTTTGCATTTGAAACGAGATGAATGTATATTTTATAATTTTAATATTGAAGAAAAAAGAGAAAATAGACAATGTAAAATACAAGGGAAAAAATACAAGCAAAACAAACGTTATGAATAAGATAATGACTCACCTTTTTTGACAATTTTCCATCTGCTCGTCCTGACCTTCCATTGAGAGGGAGATTTCCAGGATAATTTTTTCAACGATTGGCTCAGGATACAATGGATTCCTCGTTCGATTACACAATTTCACACCGATATCACTTTCCGCATTATTTCCTGCACAATAATACGTTTCGAATTTATTGACGAAACTATCCGGAAACTATCGGGCATTCTCGATTCGAATCGAATACGCATACGAGAAACACTAACACATATAAAACGTCTCCTTCAGGAATTTTCCAAGAATAATGCCGCGATAAGCTCGCGAGACAAAACACATTTTCTAACGCAATAGTGGACACCGATAATATTTTCACATTCGACGCAGTTGATTGTTCACTGTTGATTTTGCACTGTTATTTTCACTTTCACGCGTCACTTTTCCCGTACACACATATCTACGCACTCTTCGAATCGGTCGGCAAGTGTCCGGCGTAGTTCGACTCGCGTCGAGTGACGTCACATCGTGCGCGTCACGTCTGCCTCGGACGCCATTTCAAGGTGCCCCTTCGTTATAGACGGCGAATTTTCGATGAATAACGTCACGACGAGCTCTCGAGGTTGAAATCTAACAATTCCCCGATGGAGAAGGATGAATATTTTCCCGTTCCAAGTCGTCGGTCGCTCGACTTTGCACTGATACTTTGATTTTCCGTACTAATATTCCCGCACGACACGAATACGCAGTACGCAGTCTTCAAATCCGTTCGCGAAACTTCGGCATCGTTCGGCTCGCGTCGGGTGACGTCACATCAAACATGCACCGTCGCGTTCTGCCTTGGACGCCATTTTAAGGTGCTCTCTTCGTCTTTTATAGACGATGAATTTTCGAAGAATAACGCCGCGACGAGCTTTCGAGGTTGAATCTAACGATTCCCCGATGTGGAGAGACGAATATTTTTCCGATCCAAGTCGTCGATGACTCGATTTTGTAACGATATTCTCACTTTCCACGTTATTTCCCGGACAACGATACTCGCGATGTACAGTCTTCAAATCCGTTCGCGAAACTTCGGCGTCGTTCGGTCGCGTCGGGTGACGTCACATCACGCATGCGCGTCACGTTCTGCCTTGGACGCCATTTCAAGGCGCTCTCTTCGTTTGTATAAACGGCGAATTTTCGAATAACGATGACTCGATTTTGCACCGATATTTTGATTTTCCGTATTAATTCCCGCACGATTGAACAGATACATCCTTCAAATCCGTTCGCGAAACTTTGGCATCGTTCGGCTCGGTCGAGTGACGTCACATCACGAATGCGCGTCGCGTTCTGCCTTGGACGCCATTTCAAGGTGCTCTCTTCGTCTTTTATAGACGGCGAATTTTCGAAGAATAACGCCGCGACGAGCTTTCGAGGTTGAATCTAACGATTCCCCGATGTGGAGAGACGAATATTTTTCCGGTTCAAGTCGTCGATGACTCGATTTTGTAACGATATTCTCACTTTCCGCGTTATTTCTCGGACAACGATACTCGCGATGTACAGTCTTCAAATCCGTTCGCGAAACTTCGGCGTCGTTCGGCTCGGTCGGGTGACGTCACATCACGAATGCGCGTCGCGTTCTGCCTTGGACGCCATTTCAAGGTGTTCTCTTCGTCTTTTATAGACGGCGAATTTTCGAAGAATAACGCCGCGACGAGCTTTCGAGGTTGAATCTAACGATTCCCCGATGTGGAGAGACGAATATTTTTCCGGTTCAAGTCGTCGATGACTCGATTTTGTAACGATATTCTCACTTTCCGCGTTATTTCACGGACAACGATACTCGCGATGTACAGTCTTCAAATCCGTTCGCGAAACTTCGGCGTCGTTCGGCTCGGTCGGGTGACGTCACATCACGAATGCGCGTCGCGTTCTGCCTTGGACGCCATTTCAAGGTGTTCTCTTCGTCTTTTATAGACGGCGAATTTTCGAAGAATAACGCCGCGACGAGCTTTCGAGGTTGAATCTAACGATTCCCCGATGTGGAGAGACGAATATTTTTCCGGTTCAAGTCGTCGATGACTCGATTTTGTAACGATATTCTCACTTTCCGCGTTATTTCCCGGACAACGATACTCGCGATGTACAGTCTTCGAATCTGTCCGCGAAACTTTGGCGTCGTTCGGCTCGCTTCGGGTGACTTCGGCATCGCGCGAGTATTGTTAGTTCTAAAATCACTAGATATGACTAGATATTCGGAGCATTATCGTACATACTATTTTATTTTTCTAATATAAAAATTATCTTTTCATGTAAATACATGTAATTATATTTATAATTAATTTACTCTTCTCATAAATAAATCGATTATTATGAAAAGATAATTAAAAGAAAAGTATTTATTAAGATATTTTATATATTTATTATTTTATATCCTACCTCTCATATCTCATTAGCAATAACTAATTTGTGGTTCTGTTCCCCTGGAAATCTGTTAATTATTGCCGAAAAACCTCAGGAAAAACGAAATTCTGGACCTTCCTAAAAGTCCGTGCATAAATTATCGCAATTTAATCGATATAGTATTTCAAATGGCTCTTCTCTTGATAAAATGTTAATAAGCGACATTGGTCTTTTGTTTTCTAGCAATAAACTTGCCATTCTTTCGGTCATTTCTCGTTACAAATTTCCCATATTCAATGCCAAGTTTAGCTCGTAAATTTGAACATAAAACATAAAGCATTTTCATTAAGATCATTTTCATTAAGATCATTTTCATTAAGATCATTTTCATTAAGATCATTATCCTATTACATTTTTATATTAGATAATGAAATAAATATATAACTGAAAATTACTCGAGCCATTTTCTACTTGTGTTACCGAGTATTGTCCATGTTTATTTTCTCAATATGTCCGTTAAAGCAAGATGGCCGCTTTCAGGTTTCTCTCGGATTTCAAACGCAATCTAGGGTTATCTCACATGACGAACGCGTTTTTAAATGTTTTCTAGATAATAAGACAGTATACTATATATTAATTATCATTTATCATAACGCTTTAGAAAACAAAAAATTTTTAATAACGTAAGTAATTTCAATATAAAACAATTGAGATATATTTTAAGTTTAATTATTTAAGATATTGCCGATACAATAACCTAAAATATATTTTCAAAGTGATTTTGCTCTGTTTTATTTAGATTGACATTCATATCCTAACTTTTTTTTTAGAATGAAGATGAGGATTTAAAATTAATATTATTAATTTTTAAATTATCCACTATCTAAAAATTATTATTTCATTAGATGGAGCCTATGACTCTGGGATCACCAATGAGTAGTCCTATCCAAAGTCCTGGTACTCCAGGAGCTTCTTCGGCATATTTACCAAGTTTCCTTTTGGGTGACACAAACACTGTTAGAATATAATCTCTTATTAAATTTAAAATATATAATTCCTGCATTTGCTGATGATTGTTTTTTTAAATTTTTAGCCGACAAAGATCAACGTAATGAGTCCTCAAGATAATCCACGCCATTTGAATATCACCAATTCTAGTTTAATATCGGCAAGTTCTTATGGAACTCCAGATTACCGATCTAATCGTCAAAAGGCGGTATTTGGGAATGCTACAACTCCTAGCACACCACAGATGAGTGCAAAGAATCATACTGGAGGACCACCGACTCGTGGATTGTTTGATAGCTTGGAAGTCTCACAGGTGTCATCGCCATATGTATCAACTGCAATTCCATCTGCTATGTCTACACTTGCAAATCAGCCCAGACTTATGATGGATACGATAAACAGTCCACTGCTATTTCCAGACAGTCCAATAAATTTGAATACGAGCGAATCACAGAGTTTGCTGCAATGGGTAACTGTCTTTGGTTTCTTGCCTGCTGATATCAATGCTGTTCTGTCTCATATCTCTAGTAGAGTTCGCATAGTGGACAAACATCCACCTCCGCAACCTCAAAGCAATTGGATACACTTGAAATGTGCATCGGAGCAGGAAGCACAAAGAGCTCTCACATGCAATGGCAGTATCGTTTCCGGCTCGATTATGATTGGTGTCATACCATGTACAGATGAAGGCGTTATTCTAGGCTGTTCGGATAAAGAAAATCGTAGTAAACTGAATGGAAGCATAAGATCACTTTCAGTAGGCAGAATCGAACGAGCTTCGTTTAATGCATCACCCACTATGAAACGACGAAAGTTAAGATCTCTGGCAGCGGGTTATAACCAGCATTTCAGTCCGCAAACTGCACAAACACCCGAGAATGTTCCACAAAGATCAAGTGGTCTAGTTTCCAGAGCAATGGAATATATGTTTGGTTGGTAATTTTTTCTTCCTTTTGGTAATTTGATATACTCTCTTTCTGAATTTTAATACTATGAGGTATATAAAAAATTATTCAAAAAAAGAATTATGAAAGATACCTTAACTTCTACAACAAAAATTTTAACTCAAGTATATCAAATTGTTGATGATTCATTATCTCTAGAATAAACTTTTTGATAACTTTAAAAATCATTATGATCTATCAATGATGATGAATATAATATTACTTTTTTTAAAAATACATTACTACAATCTGTATTATATTGCATTTGTGTACATACTTTATAATTCTACAAGAGTCAGATGTAAATTAATACATGAGATTAAATGTCTTTTTTTGATATCATATTACTCTATTAGATAATGTTGTTAATTCTATAAAAAATTTGAAAATATACTCTTATCAGTTTTTCCATTTTATATTAATGTTAAATTTCAAAAAAATAAATAATAAAATTACAATAATAATTCTTATTTCTTAAAGCAATATGAATAATAATATAGTAATCATTATTACATATTATATATTTTATAATTAATACATTAATAATTCTATCCTCTACATTGTTTTCAAAATTAAAATATAGATATAATTTTATACAAAATATAAACAAAATTTACACAGAACCATGAACTTTGAATATTTATCTTATTTATAAATAAAACTGAGTTATCTCAGTTTGTCTACTACTAAGAATTATTTTTGTTCAATCGTAGCACTACCTAAATCAGTCATTTTAGCATATTTTACTTTTTTCTTATCCAATTCATCTTGAGCCCACAATATCATCTTTAACAAATTACTCAGCCGAGGGCTAGTTGATTCCCTGTGCTCCATTTTTAATATAGCAGCATTCAACTCGCTTGCAATCTAGGATAAAAAAAAATTAAAAATTAATACATAAAATTAATTTAGTAAAATAAAATTTAGCTTACTTTTTGTCTGTGTGTTGGATGTAAAAGATCACTGAAAGGACTCTTATGCGGTTCATCAAAAGCTAACAATGCCAGGGTACGCTCTAGCTCGCATAATATATTATCATCTGACTCTCCAGCTTCACTGAGTTGATCTTGAGCAAACTGCAATGCTTCCTCGACTCTACCAGTGCGTATCAATTCAATTAGATGTAACTGTTGCAGGTGAAAGTACAGATATCTATCGTTATCCAATAATTCAGGATGCAGTTGGTTCACCAAATTTGTAGCTTCTTGAATACGACCATTTTGTATGGCATCTCGAATACGAATCCTTTCATCCAAAGAACTCAATTCTACCGTTGGACCTACTCCTGATTCTTGTTGGAACTTCTCAGCAGCTTCCTTGAATCCTTCTGTAAGAAAACAAATTATTTACTTACAAACTATTTATTTAAAACTAATCAAGAACAAGCAAAGGTTGCCCACCTGTCACCAGATAATTCATGATTAGGTTATTCATTGACAGTTTTTGCATATAGGCGCTTTCCTCCAACTTCACCACCCACTCGTCTTTAAGTAAGTTGTCGTCTCCTTTCTCCGGTAAGCTCATCTTTTGAAAATTTGTCTCGATAAATCTCAAATTGTATAAAAATATTTATAACATTATTATTCCCCCCAGCACCACAGAATCTTCAAGCTCGCAACAGCTGATTCGAAATGCGAAAACTCAATCAAAACAAAAGAAATTGTCACTTTTCTCAAGCACAGTTCTCGATAATCCTATGTTTTATTTTAAAAAAAGTTCACACAATGAAAAACGTAGACGAAATATTTGTCGAAGTAAAAGTGACTTTATGACGCAAAGATATTCGAAACAATATAACTTGTTGTCCTTGATGAGAAAATTGGAGCAAAATTGAGACCTTAGAATACCTAAAGAGTAAACAACGAAACTTATCGGATGGCGAACCGATCAATCAGAGTTGAGCGTTCTGAAAATTTCCAACTAAGAATGCTCCATCGCGATTGGTCGATTCGTTTGCCAGTGTAAGTTTACGTTCTATCTTTTTCGTTTGTCTTAGTCGCAGGGTTCGCCAAGAGAGGACGTTTAATGTACGATTAACGAATTTTTCTCTTTCGTGAACACGAGTGAGCTTAAGGTAAAAGGATACAAATAAATAATTATTACACGTTAGATGTAAGATAATAGACATTCGCATTGAAACGAGGAATAGCTATTAATTAGTCTTATTAATTGAGTAATCGCACTTTATATATTGCGTAAAAATATTTGAAAATTAAGAGAGCCATTGTTTAAATTAAATGTTCACGTTAACGTTTCAGTAGCCAAGATAAAAAATGGAACAATGATATAGTCAAAAAGAGTCGGTTTCTCTTCCATCTTCTGCATGCATGCATACGTTTTTCTTTATCACGCGGTGTCGATTTCGCGCCTAAATTTCCTACCAAAGATTAAAGAGAAACCGGGACGCGATATGTATAAAGGTATACACCTCTTCTGGGAAATATGGTACGCAGAGGTTGAAAATGAAGTATGCACGCAAATTTTGTATTCCGGCAGGAGAGTTCCGATAAAAATTGCATTTGCATCGAAATAACGTCGAAGCGTCCGCGAAGCGCGAACACTTTTCGTTTTGCCATTTTCATGAATGAAACTGCTCCTGTTTCATATCAACAGGCGTCCTTTACTACGCAGCGGGAACATCGATCCATTCCTTCGGGACCATCCCTCTTCCACGAACTCATTACATTTCACGTTGTACAGGGTCGTATACAGCGAAAACCCGATGTCACATCGGCTATTAAAAGAATAGCTCGATTACGCTTCTAATTCGCAAATGTATCAACTAATTTCACCCTCGGGATTATACCTCTAACTTATAAACGTAAGTATATAAATATGTATACTATCATAAATTTTTTTCTCCCAATGTGACTAAACCCTGTATAAATTCTTATAATATGATTATTTGAAAAATGTATACAATTCTATTATAATGTAGAAAAAAATTTAGTAAATCAAATGATTAAATCTGTTCCTCTCCTTTGCTTTAATTATTAAAAATTGTTCAACAGAAAAGATATTTTCTTCCTACAATTTGAGTTATTTGCGAGATTTATCTTTACTTGTTCTTGATATATACATCATTCTAATAATTTATTTTTATTTTACTAGGTAAAGAAAGAATACTGCTCGTTATTTTAATTCTCGGTTATAGCGTATTTCCGTTTTTATCGGAATTTTTAGCCACAGTCTATCTTCGGCGCTACGTTCGATCGAGTGTCATAAAATAACATACACGTGTTGTTCGACTTATGACACATGCCGTCGACATCACAACAAGCGCTCTCTAATCTGCTGGTAGATAATGCGAGTAAATAGATTTCGAAGGGGCACGAGACGCGGGTCGTATGACGTCACTGTATTCTCACCCCATCAAGAGGGGAGAAGAGAACGCGAACGTCCGCCCCTCCATTATCCCTCTCTCTTTGACCAGCCGTGCCACGGGGATTCGCCACTCGGCGGGCTCAAAGACTGACGTCAATGGGAGCCCGGCCTACGGGGGGACGCCGATACTCAACCAAGACTTACGCGATTTTACGAAACCCTCGCGATTATACTCAGCTAGCCAGTCTGATCCAACGGAGATGAAAAACTCACAAAGTCTATGGAAAAGACGTGGGCAAACCGGAAACTTGGCCAATATCACATGCTATCTATTTTCTTTTTTTCCAACTTTATCACTTGCTCTTTAGTCAACTTTGTCGGCCTCGTGCGAGACAGATGAGACAGGGAATGATGTAATAAATAAAAAAGAGATAAGAGAGATTTCTGAATAGAAAAATTTTGCTCGCTTACAACAATTGAAACAAAAAAAGAATATTCCCTTTAAAATTAAAGTGAAAGATTATCCGGAGTATTGTATATTTTTTATAATTTCTCTTTCCAAGGTGTTATAATTTCATATACTTAATATTCTTTTTTAGTATTCTTGCAATAAATTTGTATTTAATCTTTTTTTTCATCGATAACGATTTCTATTTTACCAATTGTTTGCGATTTGAATTATAAACGGTAACGTATCACGAATAAATCATTGCTATTTCCAGCCCAAAGAAAAAATAAGTCGACGTGAATGCGAAAGTAACGTAGCTCGTAAATTATTGCGGGCGAATGGTACGATAAGATACTTTAGGCGCATCATTTATACGCGAGAGAGAAAAGAAGAAAAGAAGCTCATTATGCTTTTGGATTAAGGTTGCTACGAGAGTACTATGTACATCGTAAATGAAGAAAGATGTAAAAAAAGTAGAATTCTGTTTCTTTGTAGTCAGCAAATTTAATTACTTTTGAAGAAAAGCGCAGAAAATATTTAGACAGAATCTCGTCGCCTTGATAGTTGGCACAAATTTAATTAAATTTCCAAGTAATAACAAATGCACTTCACTATTCATTATCTAAAATTTAATTAAAAAGATAGAAAAGCTTTCGCGAGACTTTTATTTCTGGTATTCGGCGCAGCCCCTTTTGTGTCAAGTTCTCAATCTCTATTTTGGCTGGAGTCATTCATTGCTTAGAATTGTTCAATTATTCAATTCATCTCGTAACATTTATAGGAATAACATTTTATGATTTTAGCTATAATTCTTTGAAGAATCCTTTCTAATCATTTGCTGGAAATTTTGTTCAGAGAATTAAGGAATGTGAATTTTTTCCACTCGACCCCAGGATAATATTCTCCTGTTTGATTACAGATCGAGAGAGAGAGAGAGAGAGAGAGAGAGAGAGAGAGAGAGAGAGAAAGGATCGGAGTAAACATGGATCTCTATTTTTCCACGATTGAAACACTCGGCGTGGACTCCCGTAATTTGCCGGAAGCGCCGGCTGCACTTGTCCATCTCATGTTATGTACTCGCGCAATGCCAATTTGCGCAAGCGTGCTGCAGCGGCTTGTGATAACGACAGCGACGACGACGCTAACAAAAGTAGGTCAATTACGTTGCGAGGGCGGATGCACCGGGAGAGACGTCGCAGCTTAAGGTGATGAAGTAGAGAGCGACGACTCGCCTCGCGAAAATAGGACCAGTCCAATCAAACGACTACTTCCTTGTTATACCAAGATGTCGAATCCGGGAACATTTCTTTTCCGATTGACGTCGCACGAAAAATCGACATGATTGCGTACTTTTATATCGAAGATATGGATGAAAATAATCGCCAGTCATTTGTATTCATCGCGCCTGTCATTTACGTCGATGATTCGATCGATGAGCTTGCGAATCCGGCGGCAATTTTAATTTTAGCGAGATGTCCGCGAGGGCGTTTGATCGATTCAATACGCAGCTTTTACGCTTGATTTAGTTTTTTGATGCTGCTTTGCGCTGTCGTTTGATAAATACTGTTAAATATAAAAGTTCTTTCGCTTTAGAAATCGTTTTATTTATAATTTTGTAATGTCATATAAAATCAAGGAAATTGAAGAATCGAAATGTATATACGGAAAGTATGTCATAAAATTATAAATAGAATACTGTTTTGAATTCTGTGTCGCGAGTTTATAAATAATCCAAAATGGATTATTTTAAGCGGACGAATTTAGTTATCGAAATCAAAATGATATATAAAATAGCGCTAATATAACGTGTATTAAAATAAATATTATCTCAACGTAAACGCTATTCACACAACATGCGCAAAAATAATCTACATTTATAGCCTTCATGTCATTTTTCGTTTCGCCCGTCAAGAATCCCTTCACAGCTACAGGAGTGCTCATCCGTTGATATTATCAGACGTGATATTACTTTAAGTGCAGCGACGTCACTCCCGAAAGTTTTGGATGTATTCCAAGAATCTCTCTTATTTAGAGATATTTCTTCTATTAAACAGAGATTTCTATAGTCACGACTCTCTATAAAAATAATATACAATTTCTCAATCACAGTTTCAAAACGCTCAGAAAAAATATATTTGCATATACAGCAAATCCAAGTAGGTAAAAATAAAAGTTTCCAGACTCTTCTTTTCAAAATGAAGGAAAAATTACATTTTAATATATATATTCTATCCTCCTCAATATATCTTGAGTTTAAAAACAAAATATAAAACAAAAATTCATAGTAATATATTATCGACAAAATATTTATCATTTTTATTATTTTCGCATTTATAATAACTGTTGTTAAGCACATGAAATTATAATATCTGATGTAGGCATCTACGAAAAAAAAATATGCCCCCCGTCGCCATTCTCGACTAGGGAGGTGGAAGGAAAGGGAAATTACGCGTGGGCGCGTAACGTTCTCGCGTAGGCGTGCGGCCTGTTGTGGGGGCTGAAGCTAGGTGATTGGGGATGAATACGGAACGATGAAAGGATGAAGGCCAGAGAATCTCTCTTCTCTCTCACGGCGTAATGTACTAGGCTGTGCTCACTTCGCTACGAGATCGTCGTTGGAGATTTTTACTTCGAATCTGAACATCTTATATCTCACAAGATATAATCCATTTTGACGTTACGTATATAATTTACATAAATCTTGAGATACATGTATTCATATAAATCTTGAATAAGTATCTTCGAATGAAGAGAAGGAAAAATAACATACCTTTTAAATTTGTTTATATATTTATATTGTATATATATTTATATAATTTTATTTTTTTTGTATAATTCATAATTTTTCACGAGTAGATAGAAAGTTAACATATAAAGATAATATATTACATACACACCACATATTAAGATATATGTAGACTATAATAGTGATAAAAGGAATAAGGATTCGATAGATTTATTACTTTTGTTATCGCATTTTTTAAGTTAGAGAAATTTCTAAAATGTAGAAATATTGCTTCAAATTTTTTTTGCGTCTACTTTTATTCTATTTTTTCCTACATTTTTATTCATTTCACTATTACTTGTGTTTTATTAAATTTTTTATTACTATTTTCCCTTTTTAATCGCAATGTTAGTATTTTTTTCTCTTTTTCCTAAATTTATCCAAACATAATGCGATATAAAAGTAAATGTTTGATAAATGAAGATAGATTGAGAAGATAGATAATATCCTAGCTGAAAATATATATCTCTACTCTTCCTCTAAGTACATGTATTATTATCATAGACCATAGAATCGTGACTTATACGTCACTATTTCAAATGTCAAAGAAAACTACCCCTATGACGTTTGCGTAACAGTCACATTAAAATTAAAGACGAGTAGATAACGTCATCATAGCCGATATGTGACGCAGTGGGTTGCTATGTCCGCGATATGTGGTGTGCTCCAACTTTCTATTAATTCCTCCAAGAATCTCCAGGCTTCTACATTATGTTTCATACACTATAATAGAACGCTTTTCTTTTAACAATTTTTTTTATTTAATGTTATTAACAGCACAAATACAAGAGATTATTTTTATGAGAAAATTCACCTTTATAAATTTATAGAAAAAAAATTATATAAATAAAAAAGAAGAAAATATAGAAAAATATTTTAATATAATACACATAATCGCATATTTTTGTGCGATTTCTTTTCAATTTTGCGCCAAGATGAAAGCTCTGTTCTTTCAAGGAGAGAAACCGTTTGTTAAGTGGCTGTGTTGAATTTCATTCAAGGGCTGGCAAGGAAGCGTAAATGGACCTATGCCCTTTTATCAAAGAAAAATACCACTCAGGTTACAGAAATATCAAATTATAGCAGAGCGATTTATTACTTTATTTAAAAAACGGGCATTCTTTGCGTACAGAATTCATCAATATCACAAACGCTGTAACAATATCGTGATGTGAAAAGATCTTAATCTTTAAATCTTTTCAAGATTTAAAGCCATTATATTCTCAATATATGTGATTGATACAGATTTCGTCTTCATGTTACAGTTACTAAACCGATGACAGCAACCGTAAACTTCACACCTCGGATAACATCGGCTGACAGGCTTTCGACGGCAAAATAACAACATAATCCCCACGCAAACGATCCTTACGACGCCACGTAGGGAACCGGGATCCGTCGAGAAGACGCAGTTGGGTCATCGCGTGGGCAGACGTCTCTCTTATATCACGATAGGATCGTGTGTGTACACTCACACGGAAATGTACACATATACATATATCTCGATGTCGTGTGCGAGGAAACGCAGCGCGCGCACAGCCAACAGCGTCGTCGTAGGGTGCTCACCACCGCGAGTCGAGAGATGGGGAATGCTCGTTCACCAAGGTGGGGGTTGGTTGATCGACCGTACCATACCCGCTTTTCTACTCGTCCTGCCGAGCCCCGACATTCATTCCACCCCGAGCCGGCGAATCCGTTAGGACGTACCCGTTCTTCAGCTGGTGCCAACCGAAGGATCAGCGAAAAAGAAGACGAGCGTAGGGTAAATTAGCGATCGTCACATCTCGCAAGGTAAATGAGATTATCCTGTCATTATTTCGTGTGTTTTTCTTTTTTATTCTCAATTTCGACCGATCCAAACCAAAAATTATCCGAAAATAAAACCGAATCCTGAAATTCAAACGACTCGCGATATACATATGTAATTAAACGTGTTCTATATCGTCCGCTTTTGCGCTGCTTTTAGCGTATTCATACAGGTAGTTGCGCAACTATAAATTAAAAATTTTATTTTATTAAATACTATTAAATATTTGAATAATATTCATATATTTTTATATTTTGACAGATTTAAAAGAACTCCCTGATTCTCGGAATTAAATGTAATTTTATTCTTCTGTCTATATCTCTGAAATAATGGTGCTTTTCATCCATTATCGTTATAATGAATGATACTAATTAACAATTAATAAGGCGATTTAAGTGAAGAAAAGAAAACATTTATCGCACGCAGACTTGTCAATGAAATTCTCATTCAATGAAATACATTTTTAATTAAGCGACTCGCCCCTAGTCGTGTAAGCTCATATACGCTCGTATACTGATAAATGACTATAGTATTTGTAGACGCAACAAGTGTACGATTTCTAGGTCTACTATATCCGGTTTGACGTTACTGCACAGGTCGCTTTAATTATCAAACTTTATCGTTTATTTCGGACAAATGTCAATATCGGGAGCGTAATTCTCAAGCGTTTAATTCGTTGATCGTTTAATGCGACGCTTCAACATAATGAAATTATTGTGAAATTAATTCTCGTGGTAATTTTTTTGAATGTTTCATAATGTTATTTCAATTTAAACATTAAAAATTGCGTGGCACGCGCTCGAAGAGAAGAATATTTTAATATTTTTTAAATATTTAATGAGTGCAATTTTAATATGTATGTTTTATTAGCACGTATGTTTCGTAACATGAATATACATGAAACGTAAATAAAATGACATTTACATTACAAAAGTTTATTGCGAAATCTCTAAAATGTCAGAGGTGTAACATGTATTTTTTTTAGCTTATATATTTTTTATAACTGCAAATCCGATTAAATTTTCTGTATTTTGTATTGCGTAACCCGAGCCATTTGCTACATGAAACTGCGCGAGATACAATAAGCGAACTTGTCGCACAGAGTACTGTAAATACGCAGTCGCGTAAATATATATATATATATATATATATATATATATATATATATATATATATCGTTTCTGTACGCAATTTTGAACTTTGACATTTCGTTATTGCGCTCGCTAGCTCTTTGCCAGCCATTTCCAGCATCACTGTTAGAGTTCACGTAATTACGCGTGTTAACTTACTAGGTCTCCGTAATTCATTAATGAGAGGCCAATTGAGAGCAATTAAAACGTAATTCGATCGTGCAACAAGCAGAAATGTTGCAATATGGAATTTCTATGATATCTAATAACTCTAATAAAGTTACATATCGATGCATGACAAACTCGAGCTCTTCGATTGCGAATAATTCAATAAAGTTTCAAAGATATCGATTAAAGATTGCGTTTTCAAGGTCATTATTTTAGGATACTTATTAATTTCTAGTGGAAAATTCCTTTATACGTAGAACTACATTGACACACGATAAAACCAAGTTCGATAAAAAGCATTTGATCAAGTTACACACATGTGACGTAGCAGCTGCAAACTCTTGCGCTTGTACGTCATGCGGTAGTACGTCATAGTCGAAGAAACTAAACCGCGTCGATTATGAAGTCGTCAGATGAAACGATGGCGTCATACTTGAAGAAATTGTATCGTTTTATTGATTACAGAACACCATTTCTTCTACATAATATAATATTTTTATTACATAATTGCAAACATAAGCAAGCCCTTATCGAGCGCTCTTATTGCCCTCGCTCAATCTTTTATGCACGTGGAATTAGACTCTCGGCATTCCGCATCACATGATATTTGATTTTCATTCATATAATGATCCCGTTCTAGAGTATACCTTCAATATTCTTATATATAAAAAGAGAAAAAAAAAGAGAGAGTATCGCAAGTATCTTTATCTTTAAAATAATCACGCGAACGCATCGGTATTAATAAAAATTTCGCAACTCTGTCGCAGATGACGTACAACTGGGCGTGGTTGCTGCTACTGTTCTCGCTAGTCTCGATAGGCATATGCTTGCCCACGAGCTTGATCGAGGACGTGAAGAAAGCGGATCAGGCCATGAAACCAAAATGTAAGATCCGAAGAAATTATTCTTCACATTTCTCATTGAAATGTACTAAATAGAAATCGTTTTCTCGATTTCAATCTTTCACTTTTCATTAGTTTCCGTCTCTTCTTTCTAATAATGCGCTATGTCACTTTAGCGAAACGAACACAGGAGATGCTAATGTTTGGCAATCAACAGAATCGACAAGTTAACGCTGCCGCCAGTGACTCTTTCACGTCGAATGCAGAGAAACGTGGGTGCATTACTATAAATAAAAGACTGCCATCCGAGATATGATTATTCTGAAAAACATTTTTATGCGCTTAGGAACTCTTGCTTCTTCGGGACTGGGAGGCTTAAAAGCTGCTCTCGCTGAGGATGATAAACCATCTCAGCCCAATTCGCCTAGCAACTCCATGTATGAGCAGACGCCATATGAAAAGAATTACGAGTAAGTTTTTGATTCTTGTGTAGAATCAAATTGAAATGTATCGAATCAAGTCACGATTTAATCGATAAACGAAGTCAATTTTTTTTATATTTTAATAATTTATAAATAGCTTGTATTATATTAATTTCTCTTTCTCTTTTTAAATTTTTAATCGATCGACAATTCATCAACGTAACGAGTGTAATACTTGTATTCCAGTTACGATAAGGTCCTTCTGAATGAGGTCGAGGAGAATGGACCGCGCGTATGGGATGTGCCACCATATTCTCGATACTACACGGGCGAGGATCGGCGCAAAAGATCGACAGAAAAGTCCACCGCACAGCCAAGCATTACAACGTTGCAGCCTCCGACGTACCAGACGGTACGACCTCCGAGCCAGATGTACTATAAAACGCGACTACCTACCTCTCTTCCACCTACCCAGCAATCGGTGCAGACTCAAGATAAGAGAAGGTAAGTGGCCGCGTCCTACTTCTCCTAATTCCGAAATCGATAACCGACGTGATCGATAGCTCCGGGGCAACCGCTATTAGAGTGCGGTAGGTAACGAAATCTTGAAAGAGATATAGAAGACGAGTCTTATAACTGTTTCACTTATTGCCATTTTTATTTGACGAAGTAAGAAATTATTCGTTTGGTGAATGATTTGCGCATACCAATTAATCTTAAAGCAAACTAAATTAGATCATCGAGAATTATGATGAAATGTCGGAAATCGAGGACACGAAATAAATTTTATGAAATAAAAAAATATGCAATTTCTCTTTTTATTTTTTAATATTCTAAATCGCAATAAACGACGCTTGGGTGTCTATAATATCATGGAGTTGAGCATGCAGTTGAATTCGGAACAAGAGGGACTCTTCACGTAAAGAATGGATCGACTCGGCGGCAGCAACGGCGGTGGTTATGCGCGCCCTTTCCACCCTTTCCGCCCACCAAGCATCCCTCTTTTCCTCCGGCATTTCTTCTGAATGGGGGATGAGAGGGCTCGTGAGGGCGTTGCCCCCTGGCGTAGGGACGGCGGCGGTCGACTTGACGACCGAAGTCATATCGAACCACTTGCAGAGAGAGGCTGTCGTCATCGGAGAACGTATCAGTAGCGTATGATTGGTGCCCTTCGAAATGATAATCAAACGAAATCCTCTTGCGCATTTTGCGCTTACATATGATCTCGGCGAACCGATCGATACAACTGATCGGTATTTGTTTCTTGAAGAATAGAAACTATCCTCAATACAATTAGAAGATACGATTAATTGATGTGATCTTAATTATTCTTGATATACTACTCGAAACGATTTAACGATGAATTTGATTGAATTATCGTACGTGGTCGCGAGATAAAAATACGCCTTCTCGGAAAGTGCAGCGCGGATTTATCGAGAGGTGAATCTAATTTCAGGAAATCGCGTGAACACGAACGCTCGATATCAAAGTCGTAAAAGGGTGGGCGCGCGCGTTTCGCACGGAATTGCCTTAGGCCGGCGTGTTTAAAATTAAACACACACACGAGACTTTCATCGAGCGCGGACATTATAATCGTTGTAAAGTTAGCCGTCGCCATTGTTATTTTTACACGAAAAATGTACAAGAATGCACACGGTCTGACCGTCACAAATGTCACAGGTCGCCTCGTCGGGAACGATTAATTTTTCCTCGATGAAATTCTTATAACGCGATATCCGCGCGCATACTGTTTCCATGTTCTATTATATAACGCGTTATCCTTAGACCAGCAATGCTATAATAATAAAAGTACTCGAGCTAAGAGCACTTTGAATATATTTTCATAAGAAAACATGTTGCTGCAAAGCGTTAAAAACCGTGATAAATTTGATCTTGTTATCTTTCTGAAGTAACTCTCATTTACAATTAATAATCGTGTTATGATTTATTCCGAATATATTACCAGATTAAATCTTTCCTATTAAGATTTTCCAAAGAAAAATTTGAGCGCAAAAAAAATCGCAATATTCAATTAATTTGTAAAATGCTCTTTACAATTTTCAATATTTTTGCTAAACAGAGTGATCGAAAAGTTGTAACTAAAATGAAAAAATTGGAGATTTCGGCGTGGTTAAAACAAAAAAGATTGCTATTGTTCCCATGAATTAACTACCCATGTCGCATTCTCGGCTTTTTGGACCGTATTCTTGTAAAGGGAGATAATTCTAGCGTGTAATAAAATACAAGAACGGATAGAGATTTAGGCGATATACATATACGCGCATACGGAGGTAAACGCATACATACACAATCACACACACGAAGGAGAATTTGGTGCAGTGCACGAATCGCTCGATATGCGTGACGCAGGTGATGGTAGTGGTGGTTGGTGGTGGTGGTGGTGGTGGTGGTGGTGGAGTGTCTGCGGGAATGGACCCACGAAAAGCTGAATGGAGCTGGGAAGGCGAAAGTAGGTCAGAGCTTGATTGTTTGGCGTATCTCCAACCAATCAGCTGACGAGCGAGCTCCACGAGTTTATCGACAATACTTCCGGCTACGTACACAATGGCTTTCCGCTGATTTTTTTTTCAGTGATATAATTTGCTGAATTAATAATTCGCCGATATATTGAATAATAGCCTCGCGCGCGCATCCTTGGTCGAGAATTTACATGAAAGTATTTCCTCGAGAGCGCAAATCATCTCCATAGAGAGAATAACAATGTAATAAAAAATAAATTAATAAATTATAAAAATTATAAACATACATAATACACTTCCCAATAATTATAAATATTAACAAGATAGAAAGCCTCGTCTTCTTTTAACATAAGAGAGAAGACTTTTATTCTATTTCCTTTATATTTTTATTAATTTTATACTGACTGATACACATTTTTCTCGCGAAATATAAGACTAACTATTATATAATTTTTTATTATTTGTGATAAAAATTCTAAGATGCAAAGTCACACATATATGAACGCGCGCGCAGAGATTGTACATTGCAGTAGTAAAACCAAGCGTATAATCAGCCAAGTCTTGACGGCGCTAAGAATTCTTACTACGTGTTGATAAACACCGAAGAGATGAATGAAAGTATTCTACGAGCTTTTGGCCCATGGCCAACCAATCAGCTGATAGCATTAGACCCTGCCAGGCGTCGTATCGATTATTTTATCTCATTGCAGATGTGATATAACTATCAGGAGGCGACAATTGTTGCCACTCGCGTTTCGCGCGATCAAGGCGTGTATTGTCCGCATATTCGCTATTGTGTCGGGCACAAGAGGTTTGAATGCATCTATCGCGTTTACAAAGAATAGTTCGCAACGGCGAGATAAAACGGCGTTCGTGTCGGAGAACAATATTGCGCCCGATATAGGGACAAGTTGTCGGCGATCGTCGTCGGTCGTTTTGCGTCACGGATAAGCATCGATCAATCTTAAAATATAGACGTTGCGCGGACAAAGCGAGAATAATGAATCCACGAAGCGATTCCGAAATGAGATTGCTCGAGGTATTGATGGGAGCGTACACAATTGTGGAAAGAGAACGACAGTTTTTGTAATCGTTTTCCATTAAATCATCGTTCCTCTTTGACATGTTTAATACAATTGCAACGTACTACATCTGCAATTAAGAGTTGTTAAAATTTTAAACGTTTAACTATCAAGTTACATATTTATGATATCAGAGAATTATTTTAATTATTTAGATTCCTAATTTCAAATTCTTGCAAATCATATTTGCTGGGATATTATGCTAACAACAGAAATATCTTATTTAAATTTTTAGCGTTCCGTTCTACCAAGAACCGCGATTCAAACGAGAATTACCCTTGGACATTGATCCTGACGATGTATTGACCCTTCTATCACTGTGGGAAAATGAACGACGTAACGGGTAAGAAGATGAACATGCATTCTTTTTTAATATTACTTTCTATAAATACACACGCGTTTTATATCGATCCCATTTTTATCCCATAAACAGAAACTGGCGCAACTATGCTAAAGAGGAATATGAGAATATGATAGATGACAATGGTTTTCTTGACGAGGAGGGCACTAGAAATGGTTTGTTTTGACAACTTTTTTATTTTATACGATTTTAAAACACTAACGTATATATCCAAATAAAAATAATATATAAAAAGAATGATTTAATAACTTCCTTACTAAACATGTTTCCTATTTTTATCAAGATTTCCTTTTAGCTCTTCCATGGTTAGATGCGCCGGTATATCCCTCTCGACACTACGATACGTTATCGCCCTCCGACATCGGAATAGTTCGAACCCATCCACCCAGCTATTACGACCAGTTGGATCAACAGTACGAAGGTACCGCTCAATACGGAGGTCCTCAATATAGTAATTCGCAGTACGATTTCGTTTACCCTCAGCGTGCCTACTATCCTCATGAGAAGAGATTCATAGTATCTAAAAAGCGAACACAGGTGAGTTGAGACTTGATAGTTTTGATTTTTAAAAGATTATTGATTATAATGGAAAATTTACATAATTAAAAGATGTAAATTATATATACAAAAAAAACATATATAATGTTCCTTTTTTTCAGAGCTACGATCCGTACTCTACGGCTCAATTGCAATTAAGCTCCCAGCGTAGTTATCAATATCCCCATCGCATTGTCTATTAAGTAATCTGCGATGTGGAGTTGTCTAGAGGCACTGCGTGAGAGTTCTCAGACAAAAATTCTATTGAAAAAGGAAAAATCAACAATTGATGTTTCCGGAGAGGGCTGATACTCTTTGGACGAACGGCCCTCGCTGTCTCTTCTCCTCAACTATTCTCCCTTTTTTTCACAGGGAGGAAAAAGAAACAGATGCAATGGCGGATTTATTCGTTTTAAGAAAAATGGTGCTCAGAAAAACAGAAAGAGAGAGAGAAAGAATGAGAGAGAGAGGCTTCTCGAGTCGCAAGAGCCGCGTTGAAGAACTGAGAGATTCGTAAAGAACAAATTTTTCCTTTTTGAAGTCTTTTATCGAAATATCTCGAAATAAATGCAAAATATAACAATTAATATAATATCTAAGGTACTTCTCTACTCGCGATGGAAATTTTATGGCGACAAAATTTATTTGGTACAAATTCTAAGAGACAGAATGCAAAACATATCAGAGTCGTCCGTGACTCAATCCGAAATATCTTGTGTTATATAAACGTTATAACGCGAATTCGAGAATTCAATTAACTTTATTCAACTCTTGCAATTAGTTCGATCGCAATGACGATTAAAAAATTATTAAAAAATTATTTCAAAAGCTTTAGCGCGCTCTTGTCGCTCTTAACTCGCTTAATGGTAATGTTACGATTTTAAGCTCCTTTTGCGTATAATACGAGCAATGCGCTCGTAATGACGCTACGACTGATCATTAAACAATCGTAGTATCGAATCAAATTACCCTCAGGCTTGGTTTCGACGACTTTGTGACTGATAAAAAAAAAATATATATATATACATATATATGTGTATATGAAGCGATATAGTTTCGCGCGTGCGCGTTGAATTAGCATGAGATTAGATGTAGGTCTATTCGTCTATTAGGAAATCTGAATGAATAAGAGAGAAATCGGAGAAATGAAGAAAACGAAGGCGAGAAATGTTCAGTGTATATGTATAAAAAGAGAAAGAAAAAACTCGAAAAAAATTCATACTGCGCGAGATAAATTTTACTTCAGTACTACATATATATATCTCTACGACGAAAATGTAAGAAACGCGTTATAGTTAAAATTTCTCCATAAATTCTTGATGGCTGCGCCAAATGCAGAGTGTCAAAAATTATTGTATTATATTTGCATTGTTAACTGAGAAGAAGTGCAAACTAATCTAACCGCGAATCGTCGTCATTTTGTCATATTCTTCATTAATATTCGTATTTTTGGAAAGCAGGGAAAACGTTTGAATTTTGTGAGCGTAATATATCGAAGGAGTTCTCGTAAGATTTTCTTCGAACCAAACACGGCCTTCCATATTCAACACTCCGAGGAGACTGAACATCTCTATATAATTAACATAGTTAAATATGTTACACACATGTCTTTACAAACGATATATATAGTATACTTACTTTTATTCCTCGTCGATTTTTAATTAATTGCGGAGTTTCCCATATTTTCCATTTATGATTTTTTTCGAATTATGTGGAATCGACTTATTTCCGATAAAGATTTGATTTTCTCATTCGCAACTTTTTAATATTAGATATATTTGTGGCTAATTAAAATATTATACTATTTCTCTCTGCTAATTAGAATGCTCCGAAGTAAAAAGATAGACTGGAAATATACTCTTGTAAGACTGGAGAGCACATTATAAGGATAATAGAATATTCGATTACGACGAGAAATCATTCATAATTTTCTTCTGTATATTTTATCGTTCAGCATAACTAGATTTTTAGATTAAGGATAAGTTTCGTCAGAAATATTCAGGATTCGTTATGTGCATTTAATGTTACACGGACACAGGAGCGGTAAATTATATATTATATAAATAAAAAAGAATCAGCCAATTATATATTATAGCTTTACTCTTCTTGACAAATAATCTCGCACAATTGATGTTCAAAGTAAGTTGGCCGAAAGTGTGTATTTTTGTTACGTATCGCAGAAAAGGCAGCAGAGAATGCCGCATAATTTATTCTCCACACGCGTAATTTCCCAATTTACACGTTCTGCGTCTCTTCCCGTTATTAATAGAGTGCACGCCGATATTATATTGTTATTATTAAGGTTTAACGAAAGTGATCTTTTTTTTTTCAAATAAAGAGATAAGCTTCAATTATTTTTTAATCACGGAGATTTAGCGATAATTAATTTCATCTATGAAAAATTGTGAAAACTCAAAATAATATACACTGTCCAATAAAATGTCTAAAATAAAGATATCGTTTACAAATCTTCTTTTTCGAAAAATATAAAGTATTTTTAGCATACATACACATGCTTTTTATATGTTGGTATAATTATTGTACGAGATTCTTTTCTTTATAAGATAAACGATTTTTCAAACTTTTTATAACATAAGAAAATATATTTTTAAATTTCCCGTTTAATTTTAATCTTGTAAAATATTTGAAACTTGCGCTGAAGTGCGTCAAAGACCACGTGACCACGCTACAGCTGTTTCTTTACACCTACAGCTGTTCTTGTTGCTTGCACTTTCTACGCTTAAAGTGAATGTACACATATATATTAAAGTTTCAAAAAATATAAAAAGAAAAATTAATTAAGTAGAGAGAAACTGTAATTATATAAAACCAACAGATTTTTTTGGATAAAAATATATATATTCGAACCTTTGAGACACTATATATCTTCCCTTTGCTGATAGGTTATATCAAACTACTTGCATTATTCTCTATCTCGAGCTGTCAAAATCAATATTTAACGTAGAGAGAAAATTAATCGTATAATTAGTGCATAATTACGTTTGTATGTCCGATAACGTTTGTGTAGTATCCCATATATGTTATAGATCAGTTTAGAATAGGTTATGTTGAATATGAGAACGTTTTTGGTTCTTCGCCAGAGTGAAAATTGATATATTAAAGCATGTTAAAAATTGCGATGTAAATTTAAGAGTTATGCAAAACACCCGCGAAAGAAAGACGAGCATATAATTATCTCATATATAACCGTGTCTTTGTAATTTATTTTTGCAAATCTTAATACAGCAATCGGACGTTTCTCCGCGAACGTTATCGGTCTTCCGTTCCATTGGGCCGATTCTGAAACAGATTTTACAATTTTACAAAGCGATACCAAAAGAGGTTGCAAGGAAACTTGGTCGAGATCCAAATTCACGCCGTACGGATAAGGATGGGAAGGAAGAGATAGGAAAGGACAAAAGCAGCACAACACTGATGCAAATCGAAAATCAAGAATTACCACTGATAGAACTCACTTTGATCTACCCGCACACAAGATTGAAAAATTTTATATTACCCGAGACAACGAAACCACTGTCTTTTATTTCTACAGTTTTCTTTTTCTTTCTTATTCTCTTTAAAGTTCTCCCTCTGCGATACTAGCTGCGTTTCAGATGCACAATTTTGTACTCGATATGTTGTAGATGACACAACTACTTTTCATTTGTAAACAAAAATTTCGAATAATGCGTTTATAAAGTTAATTCGCGACTTTAATTGCTCTTCTCTCTCTCTCTTTCTTTAAAAATCCACAAACCACAAGAAATTTCACTAATGTCACAGTGGCAATTTTTTTTCTTTCGTTATGGCCGATAATATATATAAAAGACATGACAGCCTTCTTTCACAAACGAAGAAGGAAAATAATTGTTAGCCAACACAAGCACTTGAAATCTACAATTTACATTTTCTCGATTATTTCTGATTGTCATTGCTCTAATCGTTGCTCAAAATATCACAGCACTATATTGTTGCACGATAAACTTCACTTAACAAAAGCAAGAGAAATTCTATGTATACCGAGTACAAAACTCTTGAGAATCAAAAGCAGTCTAATTAATTTGTCGGCCACATGCATGCATCTTAATCGAAGAGCTGCGAAGAGTCAATTTTTTATCCATCAAACATCCGATATTTTTATAACGACCCTAATCTGTCTAAATCTTTACTCTCCTTGCAAATAGTAACATTCATTAGAATACGTATCACTAAAACATTACCAGAGTTCCTGAGAATTTTCGAATTTTGATTAAGGTGAAGAAAAACGGTGCTAAGAAAATTGACACATTTTGTAATTTTTTTTCTCTACATAAACTGCATCTATTTTTCCGTTCAAACACTAAGTAATACTTAACCACTGCACCTTCGATCACATTCAAGTATGGCAAAGATCATCTTTCTTTTTTTCTTTCTCATCTCTGGAACGAATATAAAAATATACATTCCAGATATGTATTCACAAAGCGCTCCCCATACTCGAATGTGGAACACAATCACTTTTTTTCCTTTACATTTCACTGTACACATGTTTTATAGCGCCTTTTTCTTTCAATACCACCAACCAAACACTGTCCTTTAAAAAAAAATCAGCCCTCACTTATAAAAGAATAAACTCTTGTTGACATTATGGAAACACAGATAGGATAAACTTTGTTTTATGATAAATTTCTGTAGTAGATTTCTGTCTCTTCCTGGGTTTTCTCCTATTCCTCACTGTCTTCACTATTCGGCACAGTCCAAAACTTGAGAAACTCGTAACTATTCACGGATTATTTACTGCACAATCACTTACTAAATGTTGTGTCACACTAAAAAGAAATCTACTGAAATAAGTATCGAAACGCTTAATTATACAAGTTTTCCATATCAAATATACTCTCTAAACCAGATCTTTCACATTTTTTTAAGTTTTTCCATAATTACGATTATTTTCTTTAAGACATATATGTGTCTCATTACTCATCATAGAGCTACACAATGTGTTTGGCATAATTGAAAATGCGCTTTTTTTGAATATTGTCCACATAATTTTTTCTAACAAAATATAATTTAGAAGCATACAGCTTTGTCGATGAAAACAATATTTAAGACTTAATATTATTGAAGTCTATAATTATAAAAAATCTTTCTTCATTATAAACAAAATATTCATTACATGTTATTTTTTTGTGCACATGTCTTAAAATGTTATTCACTTTTCATTTGCAAAAAAAAATTAAAGCAATTATATTATTATATAATTATATGCATATTTGCAAATGTGAAAGAACGGTGCACAATATCATTATCAATATATACGTAATTGCATTAGTATATATATGTATATATATATATATGTGTGTGTGTGTGTGTGTGTGTGTATATATTATGTGTTTATGTTGTTGTATAATACAAATAAATTCTTATGCTACATTCCGAATCACACTGTAGTATATAATAAGAGAATTACAATATTTCCAACAAGATTCAATATAATCGATAAAGATTTTGCTGTTAGAAATCCGCCGGTAATCTGATAGATAATTAACTAGAATAATGGGGAGACCAAAATTGTGTTTTTTGATAGAAAATAAGTATTCTAATCTCTAGCATGTATTAGCAGTTAATGTAGATAATATACATTTATGAAAAAGTAATTATTCTTCTAGAAAAGTCAATCATATAAATCATATAAGATTATATTGTACAAAAAAATTATTCTCTTCAGTAATATTTCAAAATCGAGTCATTCATCTAGCGTTGAGCTTAATTAATTATACAAGATTGAAGAGAGATCTCATGATAATGCGATAAAGATTCGCATCGTCGAATTTCGATGAGGTTTTACTCAAGTGATATAGAGAGATTCCTAGATAGAACTCTAGTCCACTGGTAAGCTCGAATCGAATGTCAGACGTCGCGAATTTTCAAACATCTAATTATGAAATAAACTTGTTAATATTCCCGACCTTTCGAGTCAATGCAGTATACATTCATGTGTAAAGTAGAGTATCAAATTATTAGCTCTCCTACGATCATATAAGATTAAATCCCGTCACATCTGTGTGGAAGCATCGATAAAAAGTAAAATACTTAAATCGACCAAAAAACACAAATTCTTCTTTTCATGTTCTGTACATTATTTAAAGAATCTTTGCACTTACGATAATATAAAATCATACATACACACACGAGACCAGACATTAAAGGTTTTTCTTTTTAGGCGCTACCCCCTTTAACCACTACAATTACCAAGTGGTCCTCCTTAAGACTCTCCTCGCTTAAACTAGGGCACGTGCGTTTCAAAAGTTCCGTCGAAAACGCACAAGGTGGAAAGGCGTAGAGAACACCGGTACCCTCCGTGTCTTTGTTCAACAGCGATATCACACCAGCAGCTTCCTTCTGTTTCAAATAAGAAACAAGATTGCGTAGCGGCCGTGTCTGCACGTTAGCATCGTCATTCGTGATCGCAGTGCTCGAGCCAGCCAGACCAAGAAAAATGGCATGCGAGCTCGACGTCTGGATTCGTTTAGATACATCGTCCAATTTCGGCTGATCGAGGCGCAGCCGCTGCGTTATTCGTAACATATGCTTACCCTCCTCATCTTTCATGAGGGAATCAATTATCTCCGTCTCGCCGTCAGTTAGATGGAACTTGGCCGGGAACAGCGAGTTCTTGAGTATCAGTGCGCCTTGCCAAACGGCGATAGATTTGCGCGCAACGTCCGGCAACGTGCGAGACGTCGATAACATACCACTGCGAGTGTTCTCAGAATCCGAATCCGAATCCATTTGTCGTCTGCGTGGTGAACGCGATCTCGATCTATCCACTCCTGGTTCGCGCGACAACGATCTTCGGAGTCCACGCGGAGCTTCGTACTCTAATTCCGGCGGTGGTCTTCTACTCGGCCAATCGGCTTCGTCGCGCATGTAACCCTCGGGATAAGAGCCTCTGTAACCACCTCGACCGCTTCCTCTTCTGTCGTGCCACGAGGCATTACCTCTGCCACCACGGAAGCCTCTCGGTCCATAGCCGAACTCTCCCTCAGGTCCATATGGATCGTACGGCGATTCATAATCGACTGGGCGAGGCCTGAAATCGCTATTCCTCGTACGTCTCGGTGCCAGCCCGTGCATCACTCTACTCCTCCGTCCGTCCACCAGGAACCGCATCTCCTGACCCCGCTTCCGCGTCGATGGTCGTTTTCTTGCTTCACTTTTTGTCTCTTTTGTCGCCCGAACCGATCAAACTCACGTCCATTGGTACAGATCCATCCCTAAGCGCCTACCCATACCGGTTGTAGGACGGTTTGAAGCCAAAGCCCGGTGTTACATCAGCAAAATCTACTCTCAATCGACGATCCGGTCCACCGAGTGGGAAACCGCGCATCTCCTTGACCGCCGCTTGCGCGGCGTCGATGGAATCGTAAAGTATATAAGCATTGCTGTCACCTTTGATGTAGTCGATCTTTTTGATCGCACCGAACCGATCAAACTCACGTTCCAATTGTGGTACAGAAGTCCATGGCCCTAAGCCGCCTACCCATATCCGAGTTGTAGGAGTAGCTTTGCCATAGCCTATCTTACATTGGAACTTACCGATATATTGGCCTGACAATTCGACCTTACATCGGTGCGCCATGTCTAGCGTCTGGAAGCGCACGAAAGCGTATGCGTTTCCCGTACCTGGAGGCGGACGCTTTATATCAATGTCATCGACAATGCCGTACTTGCTGAAAATACGGCGCAGCTCCTCTTCCGTAATGTTAATCTCCAGATTACCAGCGAATAAGGTTCGAGTCGCGAGAGGATCGTCTTCGGGCGACACGTGATGCAGATAATTTGGAAACTTATCTTTCTTATTCTCCACGCGTTCAAATCCATGCCCCGGATGGCGTATCATCATGTGTCGAGGTGGACCGTAGTGATGGGGCGGTCCTGGGTGAACATGCGGCGGTCCGTGAGGATGTATCGGAGGCCGAACAAACTCGTGATGCGGCGGCGGGATAGTTTCGCGACGCATTTCCCGATGCGGAGGCAGATTCACTGGTGGCCCGTACACGCGATCGTATCTCTCGACCGGTCTGTGTCTATCCGTAGGTCCCGGCGACCGGGGGTAGTACCTGTCGTAGTCCGGTGGCGTGATGGATCGCGGACGGCGATAACTTTCGGCCCTGTCATACACCGGCTCCACTATAGCCATCTTATCGTATATGATAATACGAGGTTTCGCGTGTTTCGCGTCTCGGGCGTCCTCCGAGCTTCTGAAGCATACGTAAGCGACGCGTTCATCCGGCTCGTGCGAGATCTGAATGGAGTAGTCACCGAACTTTTTGTATTCTCTGTACAAAGTATCCTTGATCATCTCGTCGCTGGCCTTTGGATGAATGGAACTGACGCAGAGAACCTTGTAGCTGTAGGGCCGTTCTCGTGGCATGTCACGTGGCGTGCGTAAGTATTCGTCGCGATGCGAGCTGGACTCGACGTAACGCGCATGAGAAGATGCTCGCGTGGGAGGACTAGGACTTCTTGCGCCTCGGCTCCGCCTCCGAATTCTCTCTGGAGTGATACGTTCATCGCTGGAATCCTCGTACCTAAAAATCATATGAAATATTAACATCAATAGCATTGTCAATGTTAAAATACGCAATATAAACCAGAAAATTTACACTAGACCCCTGCAATAATAAGTAAAATGAATTGTAAAAATTAAAACGTAATATTGAGAAATATTAGATATTGCGAGAAAAAGTAGCCTCATATAACAACAAATGGAATTTTAATAAAATTTCACAATTTACTTACAAAAAAAAAAGATTACAAAATTTTTATTTTCTTACTCTTTTTTACGACATATAAATTGTTGGTATATATATAATTAAATAAATTTTTTTCAACTGTGATATTCATTCCACACATATTACACACATGCATAACATATTATCATTGCAGCAATAACAATATATATATTCATATATATTCATATTCTTCAATCTTCACACTACATATTCATCATTAAGGCGATATATCACTACTGACTGACAGTTAACGACTCGAAGAAAAGGAAAAAATAAACTTAAACCGATAATCATCGAAATAAATATCAGAATACGAATAGCCAATACAACTATTAATTCCATTTAAAATATCGAAAATGTAAGGAAATTGACCAATCACACTCTATTATTTATCAAATAATCAATGTGGTTGGTCAATTTGCTTACGACTTCCGATCGACTTCTCATTGTGAACGATCTTAGACTTTTGTATATCATGATAGATTAAAAAATATGTGAAAGATGAAAAAAATTAACCAACATGTTTCCAATAAGACATTGTATATAAAATTTATTAAAAATGAGTGGTGAAATGGAAAATGCGATGAAACGTCCTGTATTTATCAGCGTTTTCCGCGAAACTTATGTTTTTTCGCTATACGAATAAATCCAAACAATAGAAGATTTTATTCTTATTGGCGAGGAAACAAAATGCGATCGAGTTATTCATTGTGGCGTGATTTCACTTGTACCTAAATTTTCATGGTTCGTGTCATAACAAAACAAAATAAGAAAGATTTTTTATTAAATTTTCATATTCTAGCAATTGTAAATAGACTACTAGCACAAAGTGGCAGGGAAGTGGATGCTTGAGCGTTGGGTGGACCGATTGACCACGTCGCCAATTGGCCAATTCAAAATAGGACTCTCTGATTGGTTAATCGTTGCTGGTTACCCTAGGCACAGGTCGATATAATTGGCTGTGGTCAATCGCAACGTGGTCAAACGGACGCTCCCGTTTGATTAACCAATCAAGTTAAATGGAGATAAAGATTTCTTTAACCTGATTGGTCAATCAAACGAACATCCAGAGCGTCTCATCGACCATAGCCACACTGACAACTATTAATTCTCATTTAAAATGGATCGAAAATCGTAAGGAAATTGACCAATCACACTCTATTATTTATCAAAATAATCAACTGTGGTTGGTCAATTTGCTTACGACTTCCGATTTGCGACTTGCTCATTGTGAACGAGGTCTTAGAACTTTTGTATATCTATGTATTAGATTTAAAAAATATGTGAAATATGTATGAAAAAAATTAACCATCATGTTTCCAATACAAAAGACATTGTATATAATATTTATTATTATATGAGTGGTGATAATGAAAATGCGATAAAATTGAAACGTCCTGTATTTATAGCGTTTTCCAAATGCGAAAACTGTAATGTTTCTTTCGTTATACGAAAATTTAAATCTCAAACTTTTTAAATAGTAAGTTTAATTATATATATTTATTTTGGGGAGGGAAACAAATTATTATCGATTATATTGACATTGTGCGCGTGTATTTCACTTTGTTACATAAATTATTCATGGTTTGTTGTCATAACAAAAAGCAAAGTATGTGTAAAAGTAGCTGATTTTTATAAAGTATCATTTGCTGTATTATTTATTAGATACTGCAGAAAAAACAAGAAAATGTTGGCAACTCCAAAAGGAAAAGGTGGCCTATTTTTAGCTTCATCCCTTTGCGATGGACTTGAAGACAATAATATAAGGCAAGAGACAATTGTTGATAGGAAATTTTCAGAATTACATTAGTATAGAGATTTTTTAAAAGTAACTTATAATTTTTTCATGTATATAGGCAAGTGATGACCCTTCTGTTAAATAAAGATGCAGATCCTAATATCTTAATTCCAATGCATGGTGTAACTCCATTTCACTTAGTTATTGGGAATGATTCGGAAGAATTTGCAGAAGAAGTCACCAAATTATTTTTACGCCATGGTGGTAATCCCAATGTGAGGTATGATTAAAAATCTAAATTGTAACAATCTTATTATTTATGTAAATATATATATGAATGCAATAAATATAATTTTAGATCAAGTGATGGAATGACTCCGGTTCATGTAGCGGCAGCTTGGGGAAGAATAAACATATTACAGTTACTTTTAGTAAATGGTGGTGATCCATTATGTTTGGACAATGATGGACGTAGTCCATTTCACTATGCCTTTGATGGAAAGTATTTCAAAGCTGTGACAATACTCTCAAATCACTGTGAAAGTATCCAAGATGAAGATGACAAACCAAAGTATAATATGGCGCTTGGTAAGAGTCTCTTTTAAGCACTTAATTCTTACAATTAGATAATCATTAAATTATTTATTAGCTTTACTCTTTATGTTACAGATAAAGTTTTAATTACTAATGGCGACATTGTTGCTGAATATGTTACATCAAAAGATGCAATGTCAAATTTAGATAATACGACAATAAAGAGTGTGCTTACTGATTGTAAGGCCAACTCTTCTTCAATGATTGTAAACATGAACAATGCATTAGATGTACATAATATTGAAACTAAATGCAAATTACTAAACAATTTAGATGAATATTCTAAAGCTGCTAATACAATGACTGCTCAATTGCAAAATAATCTTATATGGACTGATAAGAAAGAAAAATCAAATTATTCATTTATTGATCTCGATTTTGACTTTGCAAATTTACATCTTTCTGATGTCATGCAAAAGGAAAAATGTTTTGTTAGTCAAATCATTAATCATCTCTCATCATCATTAGCAAGCGATTGCACTATTAATGAAACTTTGCATAATTACAAAAAAAAAAAGTGCGAAGAAAGTGATTCTGACATTGAATTAAAGAAGGATGAAGATACATATTATAAATACAAATATTACGAAAATTCAAAGGACTACCTACAACATAACATTTCTAATAATGAAATCTTAAAATTTAATACTCCTAATTTCAAAGAATATTATTCAAAATATTGCACACAAAATACTTCTAAAAAACAACACAAAAAGAATTCCAACAAAATTCTTGAAACACCATCTTATATCTTGGATGACTCTATCATTAGTATGTCGCCAAACTTTAATACACCTAATCATAGAAAAGGAAAAAATATTGCTAAGACACCATTAACACCGTATATTAACAATGATCCTATTGTTAGCAAGTCGCCCAATTTTACAACACCAGTTTGCACAACTAAAAAGAGAAATTTATCAAAGACATCATGCTCCAAAAACCATTTTTCCACGAATGTATTCAAGAAGCTTTGTGAATATAAAACTCAAACACAATATTCCGAACTTAATTGGCACAAAAAACATATTGCACAATCAACGCCAAGAAGGAAGAAAAGATCGATATATAAATTTCATTCTGGTAAAAAAAGATTTAATCCTTATCAATATGAAAATGATGTGACTTCCGATGAATTTACTGCTGATAATAAATTAAAACCAGTTGATTTAAATAAAACAATATTCTTGGAGAAAACAGAAGATATTCGTGATATCCTGGATACAAGTAGTGAATATTCATCATTAAATGTTAAGGAATCTTTAAAAGTAAGATTTTCACAAAATCATTGTAACAATTATTTGGTAACAAAGTTAGATGAAGGAAGATATGACGAGGATGGTAAAATATCTGACAACTCAAATCTTCTAGAAAACAGCTTTAATCAAATGGAGGAAAAGGAGAACAAATATGTTAACAATTTTAACAATGTTAAGAAATATGCAAAATCTGATAATTATCATGTAGATACTAAACAGCTTATAACAGTCAGAAAAGATATATTTAAAATCGATAAGACATCGAAAATGACAGATGCTTTCACTAATAATATAAAATCTACATGTACAACTGAATCTGATATGTTGCATAGAGAAAATTTTATAGATTGTGTTGATTGTGATACCAAGAAATTACTGAATGAAGATCTGGATATGAATATAAGTAAGACTTGTAATTTACATACAAAAAATTGGTGCAATAATGAAATTCATGAATCACATAAGTTAATTATAGAGAATAATTCACTGGCAAATGTAAACTTACCTATGCAATGTAAAAAACATATTTATTTACTGGATTCTGAAAAATCATCTTTCTCAAAACTGGAGAATAAGACTGACTCCAAGAAGATAGAGAATGTGCCAAAAATTAAAAGCATAGAAATGTCTGAAATCGAAAAAAATTCGTAAGTATAGTTCACAATTTCTTAATAATAATATTTTTCAAAGGTATATATTTTATTTGAACAAAATGTGAGTTGTAGATCCATGCTTTCATATGTTAGTGCTCAAGAATATAAATATGAAGATTCAGAAGAAGGTGTAATTTTATTAGAACGACGACTTTGTATCACACCATTCAGGTGAGTTTTTTTACAACTACAATCTTTATTTTTTTCTAGATAATTTATATCAAACCAACACATTGATGTATATCATACTTTACAAATAGGAGAGATAAAGCTTATCAAACTTATCAATTTTTTAGTACTTTCAGTGGAATTGAATGTGATGTCAAGAATAAAATGATCGCATCTGGTAAGTTAGCAAAAATTTCGTCAACATATTATTATCGACTATAAAATTATTATTAATAAAATACTGGAAAACTTTTTATGTTAAATTATCAGATGCAGCCAGTTCTCAAAATTTACCAGAAGAGTTATTATTCATTGATGATGTTACTCTTAGACAAGAGCTTAGACAACTTGGTGATCAACCTGGTCCAATTACTGATACAACTAGACAGCTTTACCAAAAACGTCTTATGCATTTAAAAAATGTTAAAAACACTAATATTCCATCAATGCTGAATCTGCAAAACATTTCACAAAATCACGTAAAACCGAGTGACCAAATCAATTCTCATTTAGAGCTTGGAGATTGGTTAAATCACATAGATACCTACAAAAGTTTAGAAAAACATGTATTCCAAGAATTTGTATCACCGGACCCATCTCGGAGGTGGCGCGAAGGCAAATCAAAAACATCTTTTACTTATCTGCTTTTAGATCCACGTATAACGCAGGATTTACCGAATCGTTGTGTCCACCTTACACAAGCTGAAGTCTGGTCGATCTTTCTTAATGCTATATTTTACATTGGCAAAGGCAAACGTTCTAGACCTTTTGATCATCTTTATGATGCATTTAAAACATGGGTTGACAATTCAACTACTACAAATAAAAAAATAAAATGCATTCTCGATATATGGAACAGTGATCATGGTGTGATCTGTTTACATGTTTTTCAAAATATTATTCCGGTGGAAGCTTATACGAGAGAGGCTGCCATGATAGATGCAATAGGAAGGGAACATTTAGGTAATTGCAAGAGTGGTGAATATTATGGCATTGCAGCAACATGGAGCATGCAACAAAAACAGAAATTTGGTAGATATTTATTGTATAAAGCTTTACAAATTTTTATGCAAGAGGGAGAAAGACAACTTTTGCCCCAACATTTATAGTGGAATAACAAGCTAGATGCAATGTTACAATTCAAATTTTAATATTCTGTTAATTTATACATGGCATAGTTATATAAATATGGTTGCAAATTATGTGCAAGTGATGATATATAAATAAGTAAAATATGATTATTTTTGCCAATTAATTATATTTTCAAATGACATCAAATGTGCAATTTGATAAAATAAGTATGTAAATGTATGTAAAATAATTTTATTAACGCGTTTTATAAAAAGCGCATTTATCACAAGTATTATTTAAAAAAATAAATTGACATTAAAATTATATTGTAATATATTAATAATTAGTTTTATTTCTAATTTCTTTTTTCTAACAAAAATTGTGTGACATATATATGTAATTTAAAAAGAATGGAACAGGATATCATAGATATATAAACAAATCATTTATACAGATGGACTATATAAAAATTATCTTTGTATAGCATTTATTATAATAATACATATATTTCCTAAAAAATAACTACATATGTAAGGCAAATTAAAAAAAGATACTTTTCTTCTAATCAAGAGATATTTCAAATCCCTTTTAAAGATTACAAGTATGGTCTGTCAGGTTCTGTTTGCTTAGCTTTTTTGTCTCTAGATCTAGGATACCATCTGTGCTTGGTAGTATATGTAATCTTTGACAATTCCTCTACAACCTGATAAGGCTTCTTTTTCTTAAAAACATCTGTGACATCTTTGTTTCCAATACACAGTACAGAAGTAGGCAGATTCTCTTCAGGCAATGGTAAGGAATATTCATATGGAAACTGTTTCTCTGGATGCCAACACACAACCATGCAATCATCTTCTGTAAAGATTACTGCTTCCGAAGGTAAAGTACTGTACTTGACATGTCTCACGGAATAAATGGCTCGAATCGTACGCAATGTGGGATTCATCTGTCGTAAAAAATCATAAGTATTAATACAATATTACTTTTTTATTCGCATTTTAATTTTATGTTAATCAAAAAATTCATCTGTAAAATAAATCCATATAATATAGTTTTTTAAATATTAAAGTGACAATTCTATTAAATCTTTCAATACCTTGATGTATGCTATTTAATATATTTTTATGTATTCTGTTCAAAAAGAAAACCCATGTAAATATTCAATCATAACCTCGTGAGATAAAAACATCGCACAGAGTATATAGACAGAGAGAAACCTGAGAGCGGCCACCTCGCTTTAACGGGTATATTGTCCTAATGCGCTCCCTGACAAAGTGGACGTCAACTACATCCATTAAAGTCGATAATAATACATGGTTCGTGTCTGAGCTATGGTTCATGTCCAAGTTATGGAGTGACCTCAAAAGTGATACTCCCTCTATGGACATTCAAAACATGGACATGAACTACAAAGTCAGAGTCCATGAATGTTCTCAGAGAGTAATATATAATTGCACAATTTCTGGTTTTGTTCCGTGCTATGTGCACGAAATGCCGGTAGCACCAGTGCTATATAACAATTAAATACTTATGTGTGTAAATTGATAATAAATAAATTATTCAATCACGACAGATACTGTAATATTCAAAGATGAAATAAATATTTTTCAAAATAAATTGGTAAATAATACGGCTCTATGTATTTATCAACATGATAATTAAGTAAAGAGCATTAAGAGCCCACAAAACGCGAACGGCAATGCGTAAATTATTTCGAACATTAATTGTTCGCGAATTTTTTTTTTTTTTTTTTTTTAATGCGTTATTAGGAGAACATGATTTGTAAAGAGATCATCAACGCATTATCGACCTCCTCGCAAAATATATTCTCCTGATAATATAAAATATAAGAAACGAATTTTCGAAAATTTTCACGTTGCGTTATTAGGAGAACATGATTTGTAAAGAGTCATCAACGCATTATCGACCTCCTCGCAAAATATATTCTCCTGATAATATAAAATATAAGAAACGAATTTTCGAAAATTTTCACGCTTGCGTTATTAGGAGAACATGATTTGTAAAGAGGTCATCAACGCATCATCGACCTCCTCGCAAAATATATTCTCCTGATAATATAAAATATAAGAAACGAATTTTCGAAAATTTTCACGCTTGCGTTATTAGGAGAACATGATTTGTAAAGAGGTCATCAACGCATCATCGACCTCCTCGCAAAATATATTCTCCTGATAATATAAAATATAAGAAACGAATTTTCGAAAATTTTCACGCTTGCGTTATTAGGAGAACATGATTTGTAAAGAGGTCATCAACGCATCATCGACCTCCTCGCAAAATATATTCTCCTGATAATATAAAATAATAAGAAACGAATTTTCGAAAATTTTCACGTTTGCGTTATTAGGAGAACATGATTTGTAAAGAGGTCATCAACGCATCATCGACCTCTCGCAAATATATTCTCCTGATAATATAAAATAATAAGAAACGAATTTTCGAAAATTTTCACGTTTGCGTTATTAGGAGAACATGATTTGTAAAGAGGTCATCAACGCATCATCGACCTCCTCGCAAAATATATTCTCCTGATAATATAAAATAATAAGAAACGAATTTTCGAAAATTTTCACGCTTGCGTTATTAGGAGAACATGATTTGTAAAGAGGTCATCAACGCATCATCGACCTCCTCGCAAAATATATTCTCCTGATAATATAAAATAATAAGAAACGAATTTTCGAAAATTTTCACGCTTGCGTTATTAGGAGAACATGATTTGTAAAGAGGTCATCAACGCATCATCGACCTCTCGCAAATATATTCTCCTGATAATATAAAATAATAAGAAACGAATTTTCGAAAATTTTCACGTTGCGTTATTAGGGAACATGATTTGTAAAGAGGTCATCAACGCATCATCGACCTTCTCGCATAATATATTCTCCTGATAATATAAAATAATAAGAAACGAATTTTCGAAAATTTTCACGTTGCGTTATTAGGAGAACATGATTTGTAAAGAGGTCATCAACGCATCATCGACCTCCTCGCAAAATATATTCTCCTGATAATATAAAATAATAAGAAACGAATTTTCGAAAATTTTCACGCTTGCGTTATTAGGAGAACATGATTTGTAAAGAGGTCATCAACGCATCATCGACCTTCTCGCAAAATATATTCTCCTGATAATATAAATATACATATAATGACTGTCCATCTCTGAATAGTTCGGACATGAACCTATATCATAGACACAAACCATGTTTCGTTACCGAGCGAAATGGACTTAGTTCACCTCCACTTTGTCAGACGGCGCGTCAAGCATCGAGAAATGTGCCCGTCGAGGCTGGTGGCCGCTCTCAGGTTTCTCTCTGATATAGAGTATAAAGAGCACAGAGTTTATATTTTCATTCAAGTCTACGTTTAAGGCCCTTGGACAATGTTAGGCAACAGAAAATAGAAATTATTCAATAAAAACGCGAAATAGAAAGTATTCGCCAATAGCAGCAGAGAATAGATGCTATTTCTGTTCCTATTGGCTGTTGCCTAGCATTGTGCAAGGGTCTTAACCATTTGCAAAAAGACACTCTGTCATTGGATGTAAATATCCCAATGGCCCAATGTAATCCAATAATCCAATGTCTCTACTCTACTGTTTATTTTAAATTCACAAAATACACGAAAATTTTCGTAGAAAATTAAAGAATTATGCGTTTTAAGAGATATATAATAGAAAATAAAATAAAATAATCTTTAAAAAAGTGAATTTTCAAGAATCCATGTTTGTATTGTGACATGAAAATTGCGCACAGTTTTTTGTCGCATCATGTGTATCCGCGCTAAGTACATATGATCTATGGATGACGAGCGAGGGCGAAGATACGCATAACGGCTGTGTGCAATCGGAGGTGCAACAGAGTTTTTTGGATCGAACTGATTTCTGATTCGTAGAAAAAAGCACGATTGTTTAAGAGAAGTATGATAGCAGCGGAGAACGTACGTTCGAATATCTCCGCTCAAGTATTTTTGCATTTCACCAGAAAATCGTAGAGGAAGGCACCTTTGCGAGGTCATTGTACTTTTCTAAATCTCTCGACGATGCATATAACACGTTCCTCCACCGGTGATGCCGATCGCTTTCCTCGTTCAGCGATCGATCTCAAACTCGTGTTACAATATTTCAGTCGTAGATGAAACTTCGCGAATCGCGCGATTTCTAACATTCAATCAGGACGAGTGTCCGTAGTTTATGGGACTATATCAGCTACGTAATTATTTTTCTCTCTCGGTGTTTCTCCGGAGATCCGGAGGTGAACCGGTGCATTAGTTTTGACGTGAAGGTGAGATAAACTAGAGCCTTAGGATGATAATGGGCGATCAGTTTCGCAAGGTGGAGCAGTACTCACCAAAATCTTCGCCGAGGGGCGCACGTTCCCCGGTTGTATCTCGTCAAGATTCCACGGGAACATTGAAGACAACTATTTCCTTGGGAAAGAACCCTTCCATCGTACACAGTGGGCCTTTTTACTTGATGAAAGAACCTCCAGGTAATAAAGTCATAAAAGAGGAAAAAAGAAACTTGAAATCAATATTTATTACATATATAAGTTATATTAATTATTAAGATAAATCTATTACTCTCTTTTTTAGGGGAAAGTGAACTTACTGGAGCAACAAATTTAATGGGCTATTATGGTCTGGAACATTCCTATACCAAGTTTAGTGGCAAAAAACCTAAAGAGCAATTATCATCTTTTTTGCCAAATTTACCTGGTATTATAGACAAACCTGGACATCATGATAATAGGTAATTTAAATATTTTAAGAGCAATTTTAATTATTATCACAATAATTTTGAATTTTGATTATTGTTTTGTTTTATATTTTTCTTTTAGCTCATTAAGATCAGTGATTGAGAAACCTCCAATAGGCGGTAAGGAATTATTACCTTTAACGAGTGTGCAGCTTGCTGGTTTTCGATTGCATCCTGGTCCAGTAAGATATTCTTATATTGCATTAAAATATATACAAAGTATTAGAATAAAAAACAAAATACTAAATGTATAATTTTTTTGCAGTTACCAGAACAATATAGATATGTTAATCAAGCTCCTCAGAGAAAACACAAGAACAAGCATAAAAAACATAAACATAAACCCGGGGAGGTGCTCAGCGGACAAGAGGTTGCGACGACGGATGTAGGCGGTTCCGATACGCACGAGAAGAAACATAAGAAACAAAAAAGACACGATGAAGAGAAGGAGGCTAGGAAAAAGCGAAAGAAGGAGAAAAAAAGGAAAAAACAGAAACACAGCCCCGAGCATACCGGTAGCCTCACACCATCTCAGCATTCCAATTCGTGATCTCTAATGTGCCCTTTTCAGTTCATGCCAAATCTTTAATTGAACTCTTGAAGCATATGCTTGAATTGTCTATGTGACTAAAGCATATATATATATATATATATATATATATATACACATATACATATATATATATATATATATATATAGAGAGAGAGCATATATCGAGCATATATATATATATTCATATGTGCATATTTATTTTTTTTTTTACTTAGACATAATAAATGTTGTTTGTTTTCAGCATTGGGTGTGATATGAAAGAGAAAAGAAAATGTGACGAAAATGTGGAAATTATGTATATATGCACATATATATTATATATATTATATATAAAATTCTATGTAAAATTTATATAAAATATAATTTTTTCTTCTATTTAGAAGAGAGATATGCATATAAGTTTACTTTTAGAAAACGGAAAAATTTGTAAAAAGTCCCATACTCTGTGGAATGTTTTGTTCAAATTTTTTTTAAATTTTGCAATATAATTTGACTGTAACAATTGATATAATATAATTTGTATAATTTTTTGAATTTAATGTATATGAAATATATATATTGCCTCTTTTCTTAAATATTTTTATATAATATATTATATATTCAAAAGTTGCCTATATTAGTAAAATGGATTAAAGTATGAACGTGTAATATAGCAGTCATGTACGAGATATATCAATTCACAGATTTATTTATGTACATTATCATTATTATCATAACAATTATAAGCTGAAATGTAAATATTATATGTTATAAAAGAGAAGAAGGAAAAATACCACTATTCTGCATAAAGTGTTCATTTACAAAATTCATAGAGAAATGTACAATAATCTATGATTTAAGTTTAACTAATATTTTTAATGTAAAGAATTAAAATGATCAATTTTGCGACTGACTTTTTTGTTTTGATATTTTAATTATATTTCTATTATTCCTCTCTTTCCTTTAATTAATATAAATATTAATACAGTTAAATAATATATATATTTTTTTATTATTTTTTATTTAATATTTGGAAAATTAGTCCTGAAATTTAAATTCAAAAATTATGTTCACTGATTTTTTATTTGTCTGTAAATACTGAAATTCAATTTTTGATATTAAGAAACGAAATGATAAGAAATAATTTTAAGATAAATTTTTTTTTCAATTCTTATCAATAAGGTCTAATTTATTTTCGATTTAACACTCGTTAAAAGAAAAAGTAAAAGAATCAAAAATGCTGGAGACTCATCGTATCGCGTATCGTTTTAATCGCGAACACACTAAACATATGGCTTCAAATCCACGACTTTCAAAACAAAGTTTCTTAAAGGTCATTAAAATTCACGTGAACGTTGTGTGAACGATCCATTATCTTTATAAGATTCAACGAGATATTTTAATACAGATATGCAACGTAATATACTCCGAGCAGCAAACTTTCAATTTTTGCAGAGACGTTTTTTCAAGAAATATCACGTCAGGGTTAGATTTGCGCCAAGTCCTACTGGTAATAATCGGCAAACATTATGCCATCACATTTTTTCCTGCAATGACGAATTAAACTCGTCATATTTAAAGAATTAACTCTAATATTCAGATATCTTGAATGTCAATTCTGATTCATGTGTTCCAGGTCATTTGCACTTAGGAGGATTACGTACTGCGTTGTACAATTATTTATTTGCACGTAACAACAATGGCACCTTCATTTTGAGAATTGAAGATACTGATCAAACAAGAATAGTTCCTGGAGCAGTAGAGAAGCTTCAGGATGATTTGTTATGGGCAGGAATTATTCCCGATGAGGATCCTACTAGAGGTGGTCCAACTGGTCCTTATGTGCAGTCATCACGACTTGAATTATACAAGTATGTATTTGGATAATGAAATAAAATTAGAAATTGTGAATAGTTTTATTTTTATAATTGTTAAAATTTTTGTAGGGAACAGGTGCTTAAACTCTTAAACAATGAATCCGCCTACTATTGTTTTTGCACAGAAACAAGACTGAATTTATTAAGAAAAGAAGCAATAAAATGTGGACAAATACCTAAATATGACAATAGATGTCGACATTTCAGTAAGGAAGAAGCGAAAGAAATGCTTAAGAAGAATTCATCTTATTGTATTAGATTTAAAGTATTAAATTTTTTTAAAAACATATTTTACAAGTTGAAAAGAGTTTTAAAATACTTGTTACTTCGTATTTCAGTTATCATCTACACCAAAACCCTTTTATGATATGGTTTATGGAGAAGTATTGCATGATATTTCCAAGACTGAAGGGGATCCAGTCATTATAAAATCAGATGGCTATCCTACTTATCATTTTGCAAATGTGGTCGATGATCATTTTATGGAAATTTCTCATGTCTTACGGGGTGTTGAGTGGCAAATTTCTACACCCAAACATATTATGCTTTATAAGTATGTAGCATTACCCAAAATAATCACATACATATGTTTTAATTTAATTTATATTTAAAATTTTTCTAAATTCTAAAATAACTAAATTATATACAGTTATATTTGATAAATTTTATTCATTATAGCGCATTTGGTTGGGATCCTCCCAAATATGGACATTTACCTTTAATATTAAATGCAGATGGATCCAAATTATCAAAGAGACAAGGTGATATAAAAATCGAGTCATTTAGGGAACAGGGTATTTTTCCATTAGCATTATTAAATTATGTGATAAGCGCTGGTGGTGGTTTTCATAAAGAACAACAGAATCAAAATCTTTATAGTTATCAGGAATTAATTAAGAAGGTATAAATACGATAATGGCAAAATCTATATTTTTACATAAAATTTTTTTATACATTACAATAAAATTTTTATTTATATATTACTAATTATTTATCTACATTTTTTTCTATTACAGTTCGATATTAATAAATTAAAAGTAAATTCCGGCAAACTTATGCCTGAAAAATTATTAGAATTTAATAAGTTAGAAATGATAAATTTAGTGAGAAACGAGAAGAATCATAAATTTCTAACTGAACGAATTAAAAGATTAGTATTAAAAGCATTTTCCGAAAGGTATATTTAATTTTGCATAGAATAGTATACTATCTCTTATTTTTTTCTAGAGAAATTTAATTGTATTATTTTTATTTTAGAAAAAATGATGGGAGTTTGCAGTTAGATGATCATCACATAATAAGCACATTAAAATGGTCGCAAAACAGAATATCGACATTGAATGATCTTGTTACAGAGGAGCTTGCATTCTTGTGGATTATTCCAAATATTGCTTCTGTGCCAAATATACAAACTGAATGCTCGAGTATTAATATTTCTTTATACAAAAGTTTATTAATTCTACTGGTCATCTACTGGTCGAAGCTATATATTACACTTGTTTTATTTCAGACACGATTAAACTGTTAAATGCAGAATTAGTTGAAATAGATGCAAGCAATTACAAAACAGATTGGATGATTTCATATTTGAGAGAGTTTGCCGAAAAAAATAAAATTCCATTTGCTGCTTTGATGAAAATTCTGAGAAGCATTTTAAGCGGTTTAAAGGTAATTATATTGGTAAATATAGCACATATATATAAGTTTCTTTCCTTTGTGAGAAAAAATATTTAATATGTGCAATAAAATATACATAGGTTGGACCACCTGTTGCTGAAATGATGGAAATTTTAGGAAAGGATAGAACATTGTTGAGATTACAACGTTGTGTTTCCTGAAATAATTTACATTATATTATTTAATTAAAGATTGTGATCTCAGTTTTATTGACGATAAGATACATTTGAAATAGATTTGTATTAAATATGTTTTTTTTGAGGAAGCATACATCAGAAACATCATGCAAGTATAATATATATATTAATTATATATATATATATATATATATATATATATATATAATATAATATATATATAAATATATAGAATAACATATATTATTCAGTATAAAATTATTAAAATTTCTTCAAATAATAATAATAATATTGTATTTTATTGCTGGAAATTATGAAAACTATTTGTAAATTATTTACAACTTCGATGTAATGAATAGGATTGATCATCTAGTCAACATTTTTTGTACATAATTTAAATTAATTAAAAAAATATTTCGCCTACATTTTAATATATTTGCAGAAAATACATAAATAATATGAAAGATATTCTGAGAGTAACTACAATATTAATATTTTATAATATTATCATTTATCAAAGCATGTTTTACAATCTCTTTAAATATATATATATTATATATATATATATGTGTAATTTAATCAAGAAAGTACTTAAAAACTCTAAAATGTGTGAAATTTTTTTAATATTTAACTTTATTATAGAATATTGATTTTTGATACAGTGCATAATTGATAATATTTTCACTTTATATATTATTTATAATAGTCGCACATCTAAGTACAAAAAGATTACATATAATAAACATGTAGAAATAATGCATAATTATCTTAACAAAACACATGTATAAAGTGCATGTATATAACAAATTGAACACATTTATTCTTAAGTAGCTTTTTTGATATATTACTGTGTTTTTCTATTACATAGCACAGGATTTATAATACATATCAAATATTGACATAGTGTATTTAAAATTAGCACTAAAATAAAATCTTACAGTATCATAGATAAAGATACTACTTTATAATAATAATTCTTTAATATACAATAATAAAAATAAAAGATTCACATTGTGTATAAAATTTTGTAATAATTTCACGTTTATTTTAAAAAAAGCTGGTCATAATAAAATAGGATATTAAAAACTAATATTTATTAATATTACCATATTAATATGTCTATAAATCCTGCTATTGTATCAAAATATTGCTTGACAAATTACCAATTATTATTATTATACCTGATAATATAAGAAGTTTTCGAAGTATTCAAATATAAAGATTCATTGTTTGGCAAGTCATACTCTTTCAAAAGTTTTATTATTATAAAATTATTCTAAAACTCATTTTCATAAAAATGTAAACTTATGCTCATATATAATACCTATTATTAAAAGTTAACAAATGTTTTCATAAATTCCACTAAAAATCTATACAACAAAATATTTTATACAAGATATTTTATATGTGTCTTTTGGAAAGCACGTAATCAATAAATACAATAAAACTGATGCAAAAAATTTTAAATGTTTAATAAAATATAAATCCTATGCTATTTTCTGTGCAATTCAAGAATAATTGTAAGTTAACTTCATATAGATCGATTCATATTCTTATGTATTCAAGCTTACAATGTAAAATCTTAATTTAAAAGGAGATGATACAATAAATCTTAAAATACAATTAAAATAATTATATTGCTAATATGTGGATAAATAATATGTTAATATTACAGATAATAACTTTTTATATTACAGATTAAAGTCTTTATCACAGTAGTTTTAGATTTATTTTGCAATATATTTATGGTCCTATTCTGTAAACAGAAAACTTTTCTACTTATTTCGAATGTATTTATCGCGATCTGTATATTACTATTACTACGAATATTTCCACACAATTTTAAGATTGTAAAATGTATCAATTAATATATTTAAATATAGATATCTATATCAGTATATTTTGTAGATTTATTAAAAACAACATATTGAATAAATAAGCAACAAAAAAACGAAGAAATTTTTGATTTTTCCAAGAACAGAGAACAAATAATTTTAGGATCTTTTACATCTCTCTCGTGAATAGTTTTAATATGCAAATGTATGCTATTTCAAATATTTCTAGAGGTTGTTCACTATATACAAACTCAAATATTTTTATTAGTACTGATTTCAAGCTAATATATATTCTATGTGTAAAATATACATGTAATATAATACCATTGTGCTTTTACATATTATATGCATGTTTCAAAGATATTATCTAATTAAGTCAATAATAGCTGTATAACATCAAAGGAAAAGAAGAAGCACATTCGATTAAAGTAGTAAAGGAACGAAAGACATATCGTCATATACACTGTATAACTACTTATTTATAATTATCTGTTATAATAACACATTTTTTGCATTAGGAGATTAAGCAGTTACACAAAATTTATCACAGATACAAAAGGGAAAAATGCTTTCATGAATGCATGTTACATTTAAAAGAATCATATGATTCATCCCAAATGTGAAAGAAATGTTGAAAAACATATACAGATGCACACGAATAGGTTCTAGAAAACTACGAATACTATTCTTTTTAAATTTCCTCCAGCGAAACTCACTATTACATATTTCGATTACATATACATCATTAATAATATAGTAAAATGGTATATTTTTTCTAGGAACGATAATTGAATAGATTAAATACATTCGTTTTTATGTAACAATGCTTTTCCAACATTTTATCATAAATTGTGAGGTATGCATATGTCAAATATTTTATTTTAATAAGTATACAAAACAACAATATATATATATATATGTATACATTATTTGGAAAGGAATATCTTACAATACATTTTATTCGTGCGTGTTACACGATAATACGAGAGAGATTGTCAATTCTGTATATTAGAATTTTACTGCAGAAAATATCCTCGACGAATATACATAAGATAATATTTGCAGAATTATCTCTAAGTTTAAAAAGGAGTAGAAGATTAAGTAAGAAGAATGGGTAAGTATTATATAAACGAACAGATATTATAATTCAAAACATCGATTTTAAGGAGACATGAACGTTATCTTTAATTTATCAATTTTATTTATATTATTGATTTAGGTTTTTAGACGTTTAATAAATTATTTCTAGAAGGTATATGTATATCGAAGTATAATTAAATTATATATGTAAAATTCATTGTCATAATATTATATTTAAATGTTATAATTTCTATTAATTTTTAATTTTCATTCTCCCTTTTTCCCAAAAAGATATATAAATTAAAAATCATTGAATGTAATATTATCCTACATAATACTGTATTATATTACTGCATTACATTATTGCAACATTGTTATCTATTGAAATGCGACGTTTTGTTGCAGGTTTGTAATGACGTAATTTTTGTACAGATATACAATAAAAAAAAATTTATATATAGATATTGCGCGTTAGTAATTAATTTCGTATTTCTAAATTAACAATAAAAAACATAATACACAATTAATACCATATCATTCATGTACATGTAACAGTATACGACTGTATTCCTTGTTCATATGTAAGATTAGTGAATCTAGAATAGAGAGAGAGAGGCACTTTTGTCCTTTTCAATATATATATTATATATATTGGAATGTAAAGAAAATCTTTTTAACTCGTAAATAACTAAATTCATATTTGTTAATATATTTTATAAGTTGTTATATAAAAGATAAAGATAAATGAGTCGTCGTAGTGCATTAATATTGGACAACCTGTGGCGAACATTGTTAATAAAGAATCTATATTTTCTCGGTGATATTACGATAAGAATATATTTTACATTTATCTCTGCATAATTGTTTTTAGTGTGTACTCACAGTTTGATTCTACTTTGTTTTAAGTTTGTCAGCTAATTGTGTTTCATTTATTCTATTTATTTTTATAATAATTAATTATTTGTTTTATCGCATAGTCTAAATGCACTACTACAATATGTTCATCTATTTGTGTGAAATCACTCTCTGTATATGAGAAGTATAATACTTTCTAAAACTACAATATAAATATCTTTTTCATATCGAGATTCTTCAATTCAATCACACAATAATGAAGATAGGTCAAGAAACGGCGAAAAAAAAAACAAAAAAAAATTGCATTTCTTTTATTATTAATATGAGCAATATTTGATTACGCTGATAGAAGATTATGCAAATGATAGCACAGTAGTCATATATATATATATATATATATATATATATATATATATATATATGTGTGTGTGTGTGTGTGTGTGTGTGTGTGTGTAGATCATCTTTTAAAATAATTATATAAAAATAGATAAATATTTGTAACTGAGATATAAGGGTAAGAAAATGAAGACTAGCTTTATAAGGCAAGAAGCTCACAAGCAAGAGCTACCTCTAACAAGTTGTGATCTACAAATACGGAAGAAGAAAGTATCTTTATGTATCATATACACACATAATAATCATTAGAACTACTATAATGTATGCATTTTGCATCTCTAGGTCTTTTCTTAATTATCATGTTTATTGCCATAAGAGGAGATATATGTAGGATCACTTTCATATACAGCTTGGCCCAGACATTGCTTTTCAAACTAATTATTAACGTCATCAAACAATCGAAAAAGTCAAATCTGTGTATATAATTACAAGATATCCGTTATGTACATATTTATATTGCACACTACATCTCGATGAAGTTATATGTAAAAGACAATCGGAATAAATTGACCGAAAGAGTTAAAAATTACAGATATAATACAATTAATCCTTATACGTCAAAGACAATAGGAAACGCTTCTTTAAGAATGTCGCATTCGCAAGTTTAAGATACTTATGCCGCGCGTAAGATTCATAAATTTCGAATAAGAAATACACGCAATACTTGTTGAATATGTATGCCCGAGATGTTGTAAACTTTTTATTTTATAATATAGTTTGTAATGTAAAAAACTTACTATTTTACAAGAATATTATCTATTCCGTATGTGTGTGTACAGTTTACACGAAACCTTTTTCGTCATGGATTGCCTCAATAAGAGAGAGTGAAATAAAAATTCATCCCCTTGGGAGATGTGACATATCTCATATTTTGTACTATATATATGTATGTGTATATATATGTATGTATGTATATATAAATAGAATTGCGTTGTAAATTTGTGTCGATGAGACAACAACAAATTCATCTCTTTGCTTCTTATCATGATTTCAAGTATAGAGTAAATATTTGGCACAGGCAAAAAGTGATTTTCTTCTATACGACAATGTTAAAGGATATAACTCCATAATAACTTTTATCGCTTTTAACATTGTCTTCTTTTATAAATTATTTTAGTATATGTGTTTTGGAAATCTCACATTTTATAATTAACGTTTTAGGATAAGAATATAATAATCTATCTATCCTGTTCTACGAATTATTACGATAGCTCTTTTTGTCAAGAATTCAATTCTAAATTTTATCTTCTCTGCTATCGATTTACTATAGTTGCGTATATTTTTCGTTTGGAATGATGCGCCGAAGATATACTCTCTTTTGCTACTGTGTCAAACACTACCTAGGTATCTAACTACTTACGCGTTCGTATTCTTTGCTGCGGAACGTGCAAAACTTAACGTTTCTACGTGAACGTGATTCGTGTAAATTCAATTGTTGAGGTCATTGATGGCTTGTAAGATGCGTTTAACGTGCCCCACCTTGGTGATGCCCAGCTCCTTAAGATCACGACGGGCTAGCGTTAGCAATTCCCTGCCGCGTATGTCGTGGGACACGAATCTGTCAGAGTATTCTCCCAGTTGCAGGTTCTCTAACCAGCTGCACACCTCCTGCACACCCCACGTGGTAACTTGATCTCGTGCCGGATGACCCGCGGCGCCCGAGTTGCCAGCGAAACGACGGAACTTTAACCAGAACAACCCTCGATGACGATTTTTTTTATCCCCCTGCAGATCCAGAGTTCGAGACGCCGGTTAGTACATGGTGTTAGTCAGATTAGTGATAAAGCGCGTGTAAAGCGGCACGCTATCTTATATACGAGACATACGTTAGAGACATGCTAGTCATATGCACAGGTGGAGAATTGCACTTGGTGGGATAACGTGGGATTCATCAGGCACATAAAGTAGCTCTCGAATGGTCTATGTGTATCGTTTACGTTCGAATGATTTAAAATATTATATATTCGCGTAAATACATTTCCAGTATACATTAATAAGAGAGACATGAGATATTCCATTATATATTTATTGCTATATAATTCAGAGCGAGATTTACACACATATACATCCGCTACAAGATACATCTCTCATGAGGCTCATATAAAATCACGAAAGTTCCCCTCTCGTTGTTACAATGCTAATTAAAGGGTGCAACGACTTTTCAACGAAACCATGAGAAATAGCGGGAGCGCGCGATGGCAAAATTAAAAGTTAAACGTTTGGTGCGTACTATTGCTTCTGCTAATATAAATTAAATAGATGCGCAGCGTCGACTAAGATTGCTAAATATCACATAATATGTATCACGTGTTTCGCTGTTAACTAACTATAATAGGAAAAGAAACTAGAATCATATAAGCGTATAAGTAGGTAAATAAAAACATCTAAATAGAGCAATCCATCCTTAGCAGATATAACATGCACGCACGATACATACACACGTGTACAAAATAATCTGCACCATATCTCGCTACATTGCAAAACTAAGTTTCTAAATGCTAGTTCTAAATTCTCTAACGTCATAAGCATTAAGACTTAAAAGCGTATTACCAGCACTGGGATTGAGCACTCAATCAATCCGAAATAAAGCATAGGATAATTTATTAATTATCGTTTGTAAACAACATTTATATGCATAATGTTGTGAATTGTTAAATTCTCTCGAGAAAGAGAGAATTGCAAATATTCTTGTGTTAATGTTTGTGAAGAGAGGTGCTTTCATAATATTATATTCAACTAGTTAATTCTCAAAATTTATTATCAACGTTGAACGAGTCTCTCAAAATATATTCTAGCGAGATGGAATATCGGATATGAGTAAAATGTGATATTATAAAATAACAAAAGATTTTATCATTAATCTTAACAATGTATTAATATGTTTCGCTCGAATTTATTAATTTTGTGAAAAATGTGCTATAAGTAGAAAAATTTTGTATATGTCCCAAAGTACATATAAATCTAATTATCTAAATTCTGTTTCAAAACTGCTAAATATTTACGAGAAACAGTTTTCTTTATATATACTAATTTTGTGAGTATATACTGTGCTATCCTAATTAAATGTATGATAAGTATCACAAAATGTAAACTTTTTATCACAATGCAAAATATACAAGAAACATTAGAATAGAGTTTATTTTAGCTCGTATATTTAAAAAATTGAATTTTGAACAGCATTGCATAAAGCATAAGAAATAACTATACCTGATCATCTGCGGGAGTGTTTTGCAAGTAAACTAGTCCTGTTCCTGCTTCGTCAAAAATACATTTTCGTAATTCCTGTTCCATAGTAGCTAAAGACATAGATAGCTTGTTTTCCAAATCCTCTCGTAATCTCTGCATTTTACACACAAAAATATAACTGTCAATTTAATAAACTTATTAATGTATTAAACAGTAAAATGACATTTAATATACCTACCAAGTTGTGAGCTTTATCGCGCAGCAACTCGCAAGATTCTTCATATAATTGTCTCGCACTTGATACCAATTCAGTTACCATAGGTCTCAAGCTCATCTATTGATATATAAATTAATATAAGCAACAGGATCTATCACAAAATCTTATATATTCCTCGATTTTTTACTTAAATTATATCACCTACCCCTTGTAAAATTTTACCATCCGGATGTACTTGTTCAAGCGCATTTGCTGTACGCAAGGCGACTTGATACAGATCTGGTTCTAAACTCGGGTGTGATATAATCAGTAGTTTTACCCATTTGACTAAAGTCGTCACTGCTTCGATAAAACTAAATAGAATAATAAGCTCTTCATCGATCAAATGAGACGGTCTACTACATATCTGCAAATGCGTTCTGGACTGTGATGTAATACTGCTTAGAGTAGAAGTAGATTGAGTTACGGCGCTTAATGTGTTACGCTGCTTTTCTTCCCATGCTCTCAACGAAGTCTCAAGCGCCTGAAATATAAAATTTTTGATTACACGCGTAATCTAGAATATTTTTTATTACAACCGAAATTATTTTTTACTTATTGAAAAATCTAAGTAGATATTACTTACCCTATTTCTATAAAGCATTTGCATACGATTCTTATGTATAATCCTTATAATTCCAGGTGGTTGAACCCAAGCCTCACCGTCAACCTGTATTGGAACACCTTCTTCACCCAAAATATTAATCTGAATTGTCTGGCATTGAGCTATCCTGTGATGTTGTAAGTTAATGAGCCGCGAAGCAGCCATTTGAACGGATCCAAAGACCGCCACTACTTCCAATATACGATCATCGAATGACGGTGCCAAAAATAAATCTCCTTCCTTCGTACCACCCCAGAAGTTCGTACCGCCCATAAAACTGTTATTCGAGGAAAAAATTTCATGTTAAAAAGTATGTAAAAATGTATCTATCACTCTTCTTTTGTAAGTACCTTGGTATATTTAACACGACAATTCCTTGCAGAGAAGGTAACGGTATCCTTTGACCGTCGCATTCCAATTGCACTCTTTGCTCGAGATTTTTATAAGTCTTTTGTAACCATTGTTTAGATCCCAAAACGCCATACCACATATAATTTTTAGCGCGCGATCGACATTTCTCAGGATGCTCTTCTCTCTTATTATGAAAATCGAGGCTGATCTTTGCATCTATGCCAATACCAAAATAATTGTTCATGACGCACCGTTCGAAGTAACCTTCCCTGTAGAATTCAAAAACAAGAATTATAAAACAAAATTGATCACATCGCAATTATTAATTACATGATAACACGTACAACTTACATCAATGATTCGTCCGGATCCATTAATGGCGATACTGCTGCACATAGAGCGTCCGCGTTTGCCAACAACGCTTGACTGATAAGACCAGCTCCACCACTTACATCTGAAAATACGTTTACAAAAAAGCATTAATAATTATACATCATAAAAGAGATTATATTTCGATATTGCACCTTAGACTTACTTGGCCACATCGGCAATCGGACCAAGGGATTTATTATCGGAAGTTTCTTCGCATCTTCCGTTTTGTCAACAGATTTCGCTCTTTCATGGCGCAAGCTCATACTTGAACCACCTAGACGAGCAGTAGCCGCTAATGACACAACTTCCGATGCTTTCAATAAGCTGCCGCTACTGATACGCCGTGTAGCTTGCGGAGAAAAACCCGATTCGGGCAGTTCCACGCTTACTGCGTCACATGAAGAAGTGTCATCAAAATATAATTTTTATGCTGATAATTTATTAAGCAAAGTTGAACTTACATCTCTCCATACTACCACCACTACTATATTGTTTATCATGCGGATCCAGATTATAATCTAAATTAAGTTTGTGATGACTCTCAATTGACAACGATGGGCTTGGTGGATCAATGATAACGCTAATCTGCGGCGGAAAGTTTATAGAGCATTTTTCGTTGGCCTGTGTGTTGTCGGACGAAACAGTAAAACAGCATACCGGACTCAACAAATCAGACATTTTCTCCTTTTCAATATTATCGAACTTCGCGGATACTATATTTGTTTCTATAGGTTGTATCGATTTAGTTCCCGACACACGTACACATGTCGTCAAACCGTCTGTTTTATATTTATTTAGCATTGCCTGTTAATATAAAGTACATTAATTCTATACGTTCAATTTTATAAGACAAATTAAATCATCTTTAATATTCTTCACCTCCTTATCCATCTTTATACTTCTTGTCTTGAAAGATTGCCTCGCGATATCGTTGCCTTCGTTAAATTGAGCTAAACCGCAAGATTTCCGCGGTTCCTCGATCTCTAGGCCTTCTCTGACAGAATCGTATTTTTCGCCCATTATCGCGCTGATAACGTCCTGTCCAAGAGAACTCAAATCCTCTAAACCACTTTCCGAGTGCTGAGTCTCCGTAGAAAGCATGTCAGAATTATCCGGCGAGTCAATGTGCCCAATCTCCGAACTTTCCGATCTCTTAGTGGAATCGAATATATCACTATCTATATGTCCTGAAAAGTGTCAGAGAAATTATCTAATAATTAGATACGATGTACATGCAAAGCAAGCGCTCTTACAACGTTTCGTAATGGCAAAGAATTCACCTACCGATTTCACTTTCGCTATTTCGAATGGTGTAACTTTTGGAATCCAATGTGTCAGAAACCATACTATCCGTACTGATGATACTGTTGGTACAGCTACCTCTGGGTTCAAATTTGATTTTCGCGAGTTTTTGTGCATGCTCTGGTGAGATATTTCTAGAATGAAGTGAATCTGTGTCAGGAGAAACGATAGTGTCTTGTATGGTCGCATCGTCTGATGGTGTACTTGTATCTAAAGTGGTCTTTGTCACAGTGATTGGGATGTCGGAAGCAGGTTCTATCTGCGTGCATTCGGACGACAGGAAATTATCATTAGAAGCAGATGTTTGCGCTTCTTGTTGACTACCGGCAATTTGTGCTGCAGGCGAGTCAAAACTGAAAACTCTAAAATTAAATCAGGATACATATAACTTTGACAATTCAAATACTATGATGATGCGTCATTAAGCTCAAGTTAAATTAGAAAAAATTACCCTTGGGGCATATTTTCGCTGTTTCGTCTACTATCAGCGAAACCGTCGGGAGCAGGCAGAGTAAGTAATTCTTCGGGTTGCGAGTCTCTCCTTAAATCTGGCATCGGGCTCAAAGATGCCACATTAGGAGTAGGACTTGGGCAAGGTGATATCTCTAGGCTGCTACCAGATTCTAGAGTTGGCATTAAACTGATATTGTCGGATGTCTGATCTGTTTGTAATAAGCCAGGGATATCCAAATGTCTTTTATCCAAATTTTTATTATAGAAACACAAGTTAAAGAAAAAATATAGAAGAGAGAGAAAGAGAGACGGAGAGAGAGGGAAAGAGAAAGAGAGAGAGAACTATTATTCTTATAACTATTATTCTTATAAGGAACTTACTTATCGTAGTATTCATTGAAGGATTATCAGATGTTATGGTAATGTTTGGCATCTTGCTACTTTGTTTCTCGTCTGACGGATCATTCTGTTCATCGACGGCCGATTCTGTATGTTCCACTAATTTTCTGATGGCTCTTTTCAAACTATTTGCTCTAAAAAATATTAAAATATCTTTTATATATTTTACTTTAATATAATATTATAAATAATATGCATTGTGTATACACCTAGACATCACAGCATCTCTCTCCATGTAACATCTTCTTTTTCTGACTTTTTTTAAATTTGTCATTTCCTTCTCTGGCTTTTCTAAAGCACCTTTCTCTTGATTGCTGTTTAAAGTTTCGGTATTTGGAGTGCCAATGTCAATTTCTTCTGCGTTATCGGACAAATAGTTTTCCTCTTTTGATAATGTTTGCAATAATAAGTCAAGTTTTTGTTGAAGCGTTTCGCATTTTTCTCCCAATTGTTGGTCCCCTGTGTTTAGACTGGCTTCCAGTATGTGTGTTGCAAAATCTTTCACTGTTTCACATAAAACTCTGTAAAAGAAAATTTCAGATTCAGCAAAACTTGAAAAATTTGTATAACTTTACGTAATTGCATGCATACACACATGTGACCAAAATTACTTACTTGGCACTAGATATAACTATGCTCTCTTGATCGGATTGCAAAATGTTTGTTATATGAGCAAGAACGTCGTCCTCATACTGATGAACTACACTCGATTTTATAGCCGGGTCGGGCTGGTGTAGAGTCACTTTGTGACATGGCAGAGATATGCTGCGTTCGAATGTCATAATGCTCCATCGATCCAGCATCTTTGTGCCTGCTTTCTCATATTTTTCCAATAGTTGAGGTAAATGCGTGTCATCGTCGCACGATGATCCCCAGCCTAATACACGCGCCAAGTCATTTCCCGTTCCTAAAGGTAGCACTCCAACTTGGCATTGTTTCTATAAAGTTTGAAAACATAAATCTGCATATCTTTTTCGTTATACATAAATAATTAATGTTTTTTATACTGAATTTTCTCTATAAATTAAATAAATAAATTAGTCATGCATTTTAGCACTTACCGTCTGTAAATAAAGTTAAGGAAGCTTTGCACATAAAGAAGCCTAAAGCACATACACCAGTTTCATCTGAAATAAAATCATAAAAGAGACACGCCATGCAGTTTATAATCATGAAAACATGAAAAGATTAATACCGTTGGCTGCAATATTGTAAATTTAAATATCATAGTACTGTTAAATTAATATTGTATTATAAAGATATCTTGAAAGACATGTTAAAACAATTTACAATTATTAAGCTATTTTGTAATTTTATATTCTCTATATATTTAGGCTAATAATTTTTAGTCATGCATACATAATATAGAAAAGTATCACTATGCTAACTTGCTGCAAAGAAATAAATATACTTATATGTAGATGCAGAACATAATTAGACTCGAGAGAAAATGATAATTGAGCTGAAAATGAATTCATGCGCTGAAGGAGATAGATAAGTAAAGTTATCGAGAAAAACTCACATGCATTCCGAGTCGATCAATTTCCGAAAGCACCCATCCCACCGACCCATCTCCACTGCACACTAGTATCCGGAACGGATCAAAGTGACGGAACAGTCTTAATCTGGGAAGAAAAAAATACGATTTGCATATTTAATATATCTCTATATATATGTAGTTAATTATAAATAATAATAATAATATTTCAGATTATTATCAACAAGGATTCACTTACCCTGGACCGGGTCCTCCTTTTATAAGGTCGAACACTTGTGCGGGATTCAATAATTGTTTAAATCTCCTAAGAAACTTAACACCTTGATTGTCACCAGATTTACTGTTTACAAATACTAAAAGTGGACTGCATCCTGTAGGTCTAACAGCTTCCCAAGCTTCATCGCTACCTGATAATCATTCAACATATAACTTTACTACTATAATAAAAGTTTTCTCTTGTGAGTTTGTGTATATGTAAATCACTCACATATAAAATCATGTGTAAATGTAATACAAACAAAAAGTATAATTACCTATACTATGCAAAGCCGTAGGAGGCACTACACTGAGTTTAGCTGGTCCTAATGGACACCTGATACTTATGGCAGGTCTGCACGCTGTATGTACAGTTGCTCTGCACCATAGACACCGCCAATCTTGAAGCCTAAATAATACGTCGCTTTATGGATGATATTTATATGGTCAATACTGTCTTTATTTATATAAAAAAACATTATAGTATAAATACCTAAGTACAGAGCCACATGTTTTTTCACAGACAAAACATTTTGAGGACACTGGTAAATTCCCCTCCATCCACTGATGTGGCATTGTGATGTTCTATAAAGAAGATTAACATAAAATTAAGCGATACATATATTATCTAAAACATTATTGATATATTTATCAGGTAGTTGTAAATAATGTATCATTGAAATGTCTATTCACAATTGAAAATGTATTTGATTATTCCTATATAAAAACTTTTAATTATTTCACACATACCCCATCTTGGTCCTCAATGATATCTTTCCCAATGGATGCTAAAGTGGTCCACTTGCAATTGTTTATTGCTTTTGCGCTACATCTCTTGTGCACTTTATATTTACAAACTTCGCAACTTAAACCATGGGAAGTAACACCTGCAACAATATTATATTGTAAATGCTACACATATTTTAAGTAATTTTAGAAAAATTTTAATTATGACTATATTATTATAATAAATAAATAGAAATCCTTACCATGCAGAGCATCTCTGCAAACGTTGCAATAAGTGGGTCTGGCATGATTAGTCACATACCACTGATGATTACCTCCTAGTAACTCGGCAGTTCCAGGATCACCCTGAGGACGATTCTCCGTCACTGTTCTTAATGTATTTAACCACTCTTCCATGTCTTGTCTGTTTTCACCACAGAGAACCAATGACCGAAGTGGAGTTATCACCTAATACATAAGAGATATATTGATTATCATATAGTATTTATAGTATTTATATTAATCTGAAAAAAATCCAAGTATATACAATGTTATAAAACTTGAATTGAAAAAATATAATTATCTATTGTAGTGAGTTTTATTTCTATTTCATCACACACATTACTAGAATAATTTAAAATATTATGACAACTAAATGTAACATATAAAACTATCAACTTTAAAAAAACCAGGTATATTAAACTAAACTTTAAGGAATCTATTTTTGTAGAATTAAAAAAGTAAAACGCCTTGGTTTTAAAAACTAAACATTCATAAATTATCATTTAGCTATCCTCAACTTTGTTTGTGATCCAGTACATTAGTTAAATATATTCATTATATTCAATAGTCTCTCATTCCTGTGTAATTTTTTTGAAATCCTGCAAATGAAAAGGTGAATCGAACGAAACGGACGGAGAACTCGTCACGAGTCGACGAGTTTGCAATGCTCATTACCATTCAGCCAACAGTCTACAAGCTGTAAACAATCGATAATAGTATTGTTACGAAACCGCGCGATAGGAAATGATTATTAGCGGCGGAACATATTCACAGGCGACCTAATTACAGCGGCCAGAGGACGCGGTACTGGATCACTACTGGCTCGCCTCGCCTAGCTCCAACCCTCGCGATGCCGTACCTTGAATCGGGAACGGGCTCTCCGTTGCTTCGACATTTGAGCTGCGACTCGCGACGCGTCGGCGACATCCGCGACCCGACCCGCCCGCGGTATCGCTTATCCCCGGCGAGCTTACCGCGACGACGTGTCACACGCGACGGCCAAGAGACGCAGCATCCGAGCTCGCTCGCCGCAGCGGCGACGGCGGCGGCGGCGGCGACGACGCATCGGCCCGTCTCACCCGTGATTCACGCCGTTTTTCTAGCGGTAGCTCCAGCGTGCCCTATTTCCCATGGCGCATGTCATGCTCTCTTCGTCGCACCGTTTATAAATAAATGTCTCGCACACGCTCCCTCGTTGCGTGTCACACGCGCGCGACACCACGTGCGCTATTGTGCGCGACGCCAACGCTTTCACGCCGTCCGGAGCCACGAGGCGCGAGGCGCGACGCGCCTCGACGCGGCTGTCAATACACCGTATACCGACGCGACGCGTCGCGACCACCAATGGTCAATACACCGGCGGCGATCAGGCGGCGCGGCTGTCAATACACCGGCTGAACAGCTGTGCAACAGCTGTGCGCCGCGAGGGATTTATCGCTCGTGCTTATCCGCCGCCGCGCGCGAAACAATGTCTGGCGTGTCTCTGACGTGTCTTGTTATTGACAGGGTGTATTCTCGGAGCTATCTTTCGATAACGTGGGCTTTTGTCCACGCGCGTGGAGTTTGAAAATTTCGCGATCTCTCTGCCAATGAATAGACTGTCCCTTTTTTAATATCTGTGAAATAAAAATTAAATTATTCGAGGAAAGGTTATAAGTTTCAATATAGCTGCGGTTGTGTGACATATCAGTCGATGAATCTTTAACTTTCGCGCAGCGATCCTGCGTCTATTTTTAGAATTTTATTTTTGAAAGAATTATCAATTGTCAATCTTCGTCTTCGAAGGAAGCAAAAGAGGATACGGATGACGAATATATTCGTTTTATCTTGTAGTCGCGTCAATGTCTCTTGTGTAACTCTTTCATGTGTCATTTCTAGATAAACATTTCTCTACAGCTACCACGAGGGTCTGCCACAAGGGTGAATGATACCACTCGATGCTACAGAACGCCTCTTTAGCTCAGTGGTAGAGCACTGGTCTCGTAAACCAGGGGTCGTGAGTTCAAACCTCACAGGAGGCATTTTTTTGCTTACGATAAAACAATCAATTCTTCTCCGAATATATTATTTTATCAATAATCAATGATACATTGGATGTTGTAAAATTATAATTTTCCTCAAATATGAATTCATGATACACCCAGAGTGTCAATAATGCTGTACCGAATTATTGTATCCTAGTTGAATTTTTTATTAACAGATTCAACCGCGAGAAGAATTCAACGATGATCCCGACAGCTGTCTCTTGGGACTTGAATTTTTCATGGAAGACGATTATTGGACATCGGTGCAAATCCACGGGAATTATTGACGAGCCGTGGGCGGACCCGCTTTCTGACACACCAGCCAACAGTATATTTGCTTTATTGTCAGAACCACTTTTCCAGTCTCGTGAGTCGGACGTATAGGTGTTGGATTCGACACCAAGTAGAACAAAGAAACCATACCGCGTCGCGCCGATGATTGAATGCCAGGTGAGATTGGCCTTCTCGGTCGGTCGGTCAGGTGGTCTTTTGTTATTCGCGACTGTGCTTTCATCCCACGAATCGCGATATCGAAATTCGAACGCAGCCTTTGTACGACGTCAACCATCCGGCCACCCTATTCATCGCGCGCGAAAAAAGAAACACGCGCTCCTTCGTTTCGCACGTTCGTGCTCTCTTTCTCTCTCTGGTGATGAATATACAATCCCGCGACGTATTATATTTTCCGAATCACGAGATTCACGAGGAAGTTAGGTAGATGTAGCAAATCGTGTTCAACCGTGAATGAAATAAAACGCAGCGCTTGTATCCCACTTGGCGTGTCATGAAATTACAAGAGAAACAAGTTACATTCGCGGAATTTTCTCTTCGATAATCGAGCTTAATTGTTTCCAAATGGCATGGATATTGTTCCATGCGATTGTTACGCAATTCCAAACTGCTTTGACCGTCAGCTATTGTTCGGAATAACCCACCGATACAATAGAGACGAGACATCCGTGGCATGTAGATAGTCGCGACAGGATAATTTCCCATTGAGTGCTCGTAACTCGCACAAATACCGTAAACTCGCGGCCTAATGGCTTTTATAAAAAGCGAAAAAATATGCGATGCGATTATTATAGCATAATCGCGAATCATCTTATATATCTCACAGGCTAACGCGCCGATGTAAAGGTGAATGCGACGTAGAAGTAATAGTGTTAATGGATTTTCCTTGTAATCTGTCGCACGAATATTCATCCTTGCTAAAGATATACGAATGGCAGTCGAATCGCGGTCGAAAGAAAAATTCTATCCTTTCTGCGTCTTTTTCGCAGTAAGCGATTAATCATCGTCAGATAGTGCGGCCGATTAATCATCGTCCTGTACACGATGTACGCGAAAAATTATTTTTATATCTATCTATCGATGCACATTCCTCGAATTCTAATCTTTCAATTTGCTCAAGAAGATAAGACCGTGAGAATACACGCACAAGTTGGATCATAATTAATTATACGATAATTGATTATACGAAATATCTCAAACCCAAGAACCTTAAAACTAATCACTAAATTAATTTAAAGTGTAAAATCTGAGGAAACTGCACGAAATTAATTTCCAGATGAAGTTTTCTCAAAACTTTGGAATTAATTTTCCACAAGTACTTGAAAAAATATGTCAAACTTCTCTCTCTCAATTTTATTCTGGTCCAATACGTTACACACAGGATAAAGCGATTTTAATCCATTATCATCTTTAATTGTTAATCGCACATTCTTGTAAATTTTAGATGTGTCTGAATGAACATAACAAGGAATATTTAGGTGCGCACTTTCAACTGGGTCAGACACGGCACGAATACGCTCTACTTAATTCATTTAGACGCGTAGCTGTGAATGCGAGCTTTCGCGATATATAATATATAGATTGAAATACCTGATATTATATCGCTCAAAGTGTCCTTCGCGGTAATAAAAATGCGAGAAAAATCCTCACGATGGGGAACGTAACTCGTATAATGAGCTTGTCGATGGTTGAATATCGATTTCATATTATACAATATAAATATGATAAAATATTCTCCTACAATTGCACAAAAGCATTCACGATATAAAGACAAATTTATAAGTTTATACTTATAACAGAATATTCCATCGTGTCATGTCGTTGTCGTATTACATGAATCAATACTGTCTCAGCTACATATAATATGTTATTACTGTCAGATTTTCCCTAACTTATACATATAAGCGTCAGTTGCGAAAGCCTGGACTAAACTGCCATTTAAACTATATGATACCAGATAATACCTTTCCGTTGGCATGGTGCAGGACCACATATGTATTTATATCTATATAAAACATGATAAATGATAAGAGAAGCTGGAGAGATATTTTTATTTTACTTGGATTTATATCGAAGAGAAATCTTCTATCAATGTCTCTTTTTTTTTTTTTTTGAGATATTAGATGAACGAAGGTAAGAAAAGCGGGGGCGGCCTGTAACCACGCCAGAGAGAGCCATCGTTCCTCATTCCTCTTTTTTTTACCTTCGTCAACCTCAATATTACACGATAAATAGGCTACGTTCTTGGGGATGCTCCTCGTCCCTTTCTCGACCTTTTGCGTATACGTCGCACCATACATATTTTATGAACAAACGCGTTCCCAGCGATGGTGTAAGCCGAAAAAGAGTGAGAGAGAAGCAGCACGTCACGAAATTCCAGTGCGTGAGAGCTTCTAGAGAAAACGAGGCCACTCGTTGAAAGCTGGATTCTCAATATTGTATACTGGATGTTGTGAGCCTGCTTTTGCGCGCTGCTCGCAAATGACGCCGTGACCTTCTGACCTGGAAATCCATCCCATTCTAACGCGAGCTGCCGAATCCACGGAGGAAGGATCGATCGTCCCTTAAATTATCGGATGCTTCGGCCGCGCTATGGCATTAAACAGTCTTTCGTCTATCAATCAGGCGTACTGCGTTTATCAGTGGTGTTGCGCAAAAATAAATTCGGCACGAGATCGTCCCCGCGACCGACAAATGGATCGGGGTCGTAGATACATCTTCGTTTAGCCAAATGCGTAGACATCGAGTGTTTTTTTTGCAGATTTTTCCGGCGTTTTAGTTTGACGTAGAGCAATCTTTCGTCCAACTGTCTGTCGAGAGGTAGACATGTGTCAGCGTTCACAGATATATTTGCAGAATTTCTCTAGCTCC